GAGATAATCTATTGCAGAAGCAACGTCAATTGCAATATTGAGTCTTTGGATAAGGCTCAATCTCTTACTTTGAGATTGCTCATCATCTCTTGGATGCAGCCATGAGTCTAGACTTCCGTTTTCCATGAACTCGAAAACTAGACTCTTGAAGTCATTACCCTGATTATCAATACTTGAGCATGCAGTTATGATTTTGAGAAGATTCCGGTGCCGTATACTTCTTAAAGCTTTGCATTCATCAATGAAACTCTTGGAAGCTCCTCGTTGTTGAAGGTTGAATACCTTGACAGCAACTACCCTCCCATCAGTAGGAAGTACTCCTTTGTAAACAGAACCAAAACTTCCTGAACCAATCAGATTGTCCATAGAGAAACCGCCAGTTGATTGAACGAGTTCTAAGTAAGAGATTGATTTCCAACCCTCATAAGAACGTGAAGCTACAGGCCCACCTCTTGACTTTTTCACCTTTGAGCGAGCCACAATGAAGCATGACAGAGAGATTATGAAGGCAAGTGCACAAGCTATAGGGATGACTACCTTTGGGGCAAGTAGTCGTTGAGATGAATGGGACTTTTTGATGGAGCAGGCATGTAGACGCAATTTTGGGAGGCCACCACAAAGCCTATTGTTTCCAATAACTGAGAGACCACTTGCATTTGAAAAGATCCCTTCTTTAGGCAATTCACCCTCAAAATCATTATAAGAAAGATTGAGATAGTGAAGAAACGGAAACTTGCCTAGAAATTCTGGAATCTGCCCTGATAAGTTGTTGCGTGAAATATCTATTTCTTCCAAACTTCTGAAATTTTTAAGGGATTGAGGAATTGTTCCTTCAAATTCATTACCTTCCAGACGCAAGTGCATCAACATAATACAATGGCCAAGGGTTGTGGGGATTTCACTTGATAACTTATTTCCTGATACATCCAGCTCCACAAGATGTATCAAATCACCCACTTCAGATGGTAATGAACCAGTCAAATAATTGTTAGACAAGTACAAAGAAATTGAAAGGGATGAAATCCCCACAAGCTCTCTAGGTATGGTGCCTGATATATTGTTGTTAGAAAGGTCAAGTTCAAGTAGACTTTGGCAATTCCCAATATTTGGAGGAATACTTCCCGCAAACCTATTTTCATACATGTAGAGTAGTGTCAATGAAGTCAAGTTGCCTATGGAGGACGGTATCAGCCCAGAAAATCTGTTAGTACGCAGATTCAGGGTCACTAACTTTTGAAGCTTCCCAATTCCATCAGGGACAATACCACTCAAATAGTTCTGTTCCATTCCAATAACATTCAGGCTTAAAAGATTTCCAATGTCATCAGGGATGCTTCCACGTATCAAATTTCTCCCTAAAACAAGAGATTTTAGTTGGGTAGAAAGGTTGCCTATGGATCTTGGCAATTCTCCTTCAAAATGATTATTGTTAAGAGCCAGCGACTGTAGGCTGGTACAATTAGCCAAGAAGCTGAGAAAATTTAAGTTGCCAGTTTTCCCACTTTCTAGCCTATTGTGAGAAAAGTTTATCCAAACTAATCTTTGCAACCTTCCAAGATTTGCAGCAGGGAGTGTTCCAACGAGACCATTATAACCCAAATCAAGCGCCCGAAGTCTAGAAGAATTTGAAAACGATGTAGGAATAGTTCCTGTAAATTTGTTGAGACCGCCGGCAAATAATTGGAGATTAGGAAGATTGATGCCGATATTTGGTGGTAGCTCTCCATGCAGTTGGTTATCAAGAACACTGAACAGGGACATGGAAGAAATATTATATATTGAAGAAGGGACCATACCAGACAGATTATTCGAATCAAGTCCGAGACTCTCCAAGCTTGTCAGACGCCCGAGCTCATTAGGTATGCTTCCATGAAAATTGTTTTGACCCAAAAAAAGGCTTTTCAAAGATGAAAAGTTTCCAATCCAATTTGGGATGGTTCCAGTAAGATTGTTAATAGTAAGCCACAGGTGATTTAAACTCATCAATGAACTCAGTTGATCTGGAACGGAACCAGTAATCTCATTATGTTGAAGATCCAGCATGCTTAGTTGTGTACAGTGAGATATATTAGTCGGAATTTTCCCGCCGAAGGAGTTGTAAGACAAGTTTAGAGAGCGCAGGCTTTGAAGACGTCCCATTTCTTGAGGAATTTCACCACTAAAGCTGTTGTTCACTAGGTTGATTCCAGTAAGGTGAGAAAGATTTCCAATTGAAGGTGGTAAGGATCCTACCAGATTTTTAGAATTGAGCTTCAAAATAATGACTCTTTTGGTGGAATTGTTGCATGTAACACCAACCCAACTGCAGAAATGAATGGAATCATTCCATGAGCTCATGACATGGAGAGGATCTTGAGTGATTCTTTTCTTCAAGTCCAGCAGCGCCACGCGATCAGTTTCATTTCCAGAAGCATTAGGACTGGCACTGGGTAGAGTTGCAGATTCCAGAGGAATGCTCATGCTCATGCATAAAAGAACGAACCCATGAAGGAATGCAAACAAAATCTGCCTACCCTGAGTAGTGCGTGAATGCTTCTCCATCCTTGTTGTAAATAAATACTGAGCAAATCAGAAACCAATAAGTGTCTGTTTCTTTTCCTTGCTAGTTGCTGCCCATCATCCTGGCTGGTGATGTGTTAAGTATGTGATACATGAGATGAGATGCTGAATAATCTGTCCGTCCACAGGGACAGGGGGACCTTTCCTTTGCTTGTCTATGACTATGTATGTATGTTTTGTTTTGAGTGACTTATCCTGGGCTGGACCTTGTGAATTGTGAACTGATGTGCATAACGCGTAGTGACATTAAGATCCAACGGTCCACGAACCACGACTACCACACACTCGCGTTCAATGCAAACACTGACACGTTAACACAACATGGACACGTGATATACCATTTAAGGACAGCAATATCAACCACTAATGAATGGCCACGGAAGAAAACTTGATATAACTAACAAATGTGAGGACCAACCAAATTAGAGTACTAGTTGAAGACCAAATTTGCTGAGTTGTTATAGTGGTTCAACTAATTTGCTGGTAAATTGATTGTTGTGATTACTGCGCTGTGGAATCAGCTAGAGTGAGAAGTGAGGTTAGTCATTGATCCGTTTTTTTGAGCGATTATGATGAAGCCCAACACAACACTAATCCGTTTCTAGAAGAACCTGGTCGTCTGCTTACTCTGTAACTTTTACAATTTTCTAGGGTTATTCTAGTTATTCAATAAGGCCACATAGACAACATCTGATTTGCAAGGAAATCTTGTACTTGACTGATTATTGAATGAAGTTTTTCACCTTCTTGATCCTAAAAAGAAAAAACAAGGTGGGAACTTTTCTTCCTTTTTCTTCAACATGCAACATGCTACTTTGGTCTTCTTGTGATTTGATTGAATTATATATTGTAACCAGTCTAACCTCTCTGATTGCTATACACATTGAGAGAAACCCTTTCCATTCAATTCTTCCAGGGCGATGTTCATATCGTATGTAGAAGAGGCCCAACTAATTCATAGAACAGACAGGAGCATCTATTAATTCTTACAAGCTTGTGTTTTTTTTTTTTTTTTTTTTTTTTTTTTTTTTTTTGGGGTTTTTTTTTTTTTTTTTATATTTTGTAAATTTTTTGGCAGCTTTAAGCTTTAAGTTGCTTGGCTCCATCCATCCAACAAATTAATCCATATCCCTTCACCTAGGGGTGGGCATCTAAAGCCGAAATACTGAAATCATATCCTAACCATACCGTACATATCATACCGATTTCATACTGTTTCATTTGAGATGAGGAGATATTCGGTACCGTACCATACCATACCAATAGAGTATGGTATGGTAGTGGTATCAGATATTTGGTACCGATCAGTACCTTACCGATACTGATTTGGCACGGTACCAACTTTGACAAACATAATCCCATACCGTATCATACCGATATCGGTAGCGGTATGAGCTCAATACCGTATTGTACCGTACCATGCCCACCCCTTACCCAAAAAAAAAAAAAAAAAAAAAAAAAAAACATAAAAGTCATCCCATTAATCCATATCCCTTCTTATAACATGTCTTCATATTTGCCATGTTGATTGTTGTCACCCAAAGCCTTATTGTAATTTGCTGCCAGAACCATTTTCAACCAAATAACTAGAATGCAGTGAGAGCAAGAATGAGAATGGGAAGGAATTTCTTCAACAGCTCCATTAATAAAGAATCATAATCCTACATTAGCCAAATGCATCATACAAATTACAATTAGCATTATGGTATACTATATATCATAGCGTGCTCTATAGCTAGAAAATCTCCGCCAATACTAGTGGGTCTTGTAGATTCTTGATTCGACTTCCATCTCACTTTCTGTGCATATTTGTACATAATTTGTATGCTGCCGTTAATTTTGTGAGGTTTTCTAATTTTTCCTTTCCATTAAGCAAGAGGCCCTTGATTTTCACCGATTAGGCGGCCTGATGTCATTTTTACTTATTTATTCTACAATTTTCATGGATTTTGCTAAGCAACAGCACAAGAACCAACTGCTAATTGAAGATCAATTAAGCAAAATAAGCAGCAAAACATATATACAAAGATGGCAAACAAAACGAAGAAGCCCAGGCACAAACAAAATAAAACATCATTACAGAATGTCACACACATATGGATACATTTAATATCCTTATTCGAATAGTTTCTTTCAAATAGATGAGGCTATATAGATTTGAGATCGGAGAACAAACTTAGCGCTTCCTGCAAATTGCTAGTTGAGATACGAGTCTCTACTTGCCTTCATTTTGTTGACAACAACATCTATTTTGCATCGGCTCAGTTGGTGATATAGCAGAGCATGAGAGTCCTCTCTGAATCACCGAAACCAAACATTCCTCCAATCTCGTTGCTTGGATTGGGTCGCCATCCTGATAGTTTGTAATTGGTCTTGCTCGCATGTCATTGTTGTATCTTTCATCATTAGCATTTGCATCATCTCTTTCATCATTGACATGGCTATGAATTGGTGATGCTTAGACCATCTCTGAACATGTCATCTGTAGGTCTTTTTCCTGTGAACATTTCTAGCAACGGTATTCCAAAGCTATAAATATCTCCCAGAAAGGAGACTTGGCCTCCCATGCCATACTCTGTCATTCATTAAATGCATTAGGATGTCACAGTCAAATCACATTTTTTCAACTTACATGTTCTTTATCAGTATGCTGATACATGGAGGAAGTGAAAAAAAGAGAATGATAGAATCTCATACCTGGAGGAATGTAGCCTATGGAACCTATTAACCCAACTGACATGGTTTGACGTTGGGAGGAATTATCTGATGCTTCCAAGAGGAACCTTGCCAAACCGAAGTCACCAACATGGGCTACCATATCTTCACCAAGAAGAATATTGCTTGGCTTTAGATCACAATGAACAATGGTTGTTTCACAACGGTGGTGGAGATAATCTATTGCAGAAGCAACGTCAATTGCAATATTGAGCCTTTGGATAAGGCTCAATCTCTTACTTTGAGATTGATCATCATCTCCGAACCACTACACTAGTAGGTCATTTGCTAACAGGACTTCATCTTTGTTATGGTGATTGTTACCCAAGTAGACTAGCAGCTGCAAGTCTAGGTTTACTCTGTTATACTGGTTTGGAAAGTGCAAATCAAAAAAATGAATATGCACAGACGCACATGGCATTTGATTTTGGCAGTCTTAACCAGAAGTTACAGCTTTGATTCAGCCATTAACTATATATGAGACCAATTAATATCTATAAAGTATAAACTAATGCAACTAGAAGGGTCATTTTAAAATAAAAAGAACTTATAGCCGGGCGGCTAAACTCGGGGGTTTTTTTAAATAAAAAGAGTATCGCCGGGCAGCTATACTACGGTTCTTATAAAATAAAAATAGTATAGCCGAGCGGCTACACTATTTTTGCCACGTGGCAAAATGGCTCTAGCAGGCCGTTTCCTTTTTTTTTTTTTTTTTTTTTTTTTTTTTTGTTTTACAGAGGAGGGCTAAAGCCCCAAACCAAAAAGAAACTAAACAGAAACTAAACGAGTTAAAGATGATGGTTATTGTAAATGCAAAATTGCACACAAAATATAAAGCTGAAGCTAAGGTAACTTGATTTTCGGTTCTGTTGAGAGATCATCAGCTACAACTAATTCCCTGGTCTTTGTTTGGCTCCTTCTTCGATATTCTATGTTGGTTTGGTTGACAGCTGGATCTGAAATTGGTATGTCATCATGTAATATATCCTTTGATTTTACTTCAATATATAAAACTATATTCATCATCCTCCGCAATAATATTATTGGTCTCTGATGACATACATATAAATGTATTTGTTTATTATCTCATATATTCTGCTCAGCTTTGGATTTATGAGTTTCAAGAATTATTACATCACAGATTATGATTTTGTTCTTGCCAATATCGTTAATGGCAGGGTAGACATGGATCAAAAGAGAAAGAGGAAGATTGTGACAACTCTAGTTGCAGTAGAGTTAGAAAAACAACGTTTGTGTGCATCCATGATGTTAGTAACTGTCATATAGATCCAATGGAGCAAGAATTTTATTATGATCCCCTCATTGAGAATAATGTAGATCATGGCACTATTGATACCATTGCAGCATCCGACCAATGGTCTGTATGGAGGGATAATTTGGCTACTGAGATGTGTAATGAGTGGATGGCAAATTGAGCAACATAACATAAGTATTTGTTGATCATTTGAATGTACTTAAAAGAATTTTCATGTTATTACTAATTTTGTGAATTTTTGGACTTTTTTATGGTATCTTCGTGTGATTTCTTATTTGTAATTTTGCTTGCATGTTTTTTTTATAATTAAATTTAATTATTTCTGATATTAAATAATTTTAATAAATTTTAAAAATAAATTTTGTTTGAAGTCCAATGCAGTCCAGCCCATACTTGTACCAAATAACGGACTGGACTTTAGTCTAGTGCAGTCTAGCCCAACTTAATGTACCAAACAACTTATTAAAGTTCATTCCAATCCAAGCCAAACCAGTCCAACACTCCAAGTCCAATCCTAACCAGTCCAGTCCAACCTACCAAATAAGGCCTTCTTGCAAGCTTAGTGGAAGGAAAACAGGTTTTGTGTCTGGGCCAATTCAGCTTTTAGCTTTCTTGTTTTTGCCATGGTAATTTATTTTCACCAAACTAGCCTTGCAAGTTGCAGCAATTTGCAGAGGCTAAACCACCGTCAAAGACTTGCAGCTTCAGACTAAGGTGTACTATGGTGTAAACCCAAGTAGACTAGCAACTGCAAGTTTAGGTTTGGAAAGTGCAAATCAAAAAAATGCATGCACCGTCGCACATGCCAATTTGATTTTGGCAGACTTCAAAAACTAAATTGCACCAGCCAGGTAGAGAGCCTGCAGTCTTAACCAGAAGTTACAACTTTGATTCAGCCATTAACTATACGATGAGACCAATTAATATCTATAAAGTATAAACTAATTCAACTAGAAGGGTTATTTTTATATATAAATAAATAGTATAGCCGGGCGGCTACACCCGGAGGTTTTTTTTGTTAAAACAATAAAGCCGAGAGGCTCTACTATTTTTACACGTGGCGAAATGGGCGATAGGCTGCAGGCGGGTCCCTTTTATAAATAGTCCAGCCGCGCGGCTAGACTCGGGATTTATTTTAATAATCAAAATTGTCTAGCCGTGTGGCTACACAACAGTTTTTATTATTAAAAAATAGTATTTCCGAGCGGGCTATACAATTTTGACACGTGGTGAAGCAGGAGATAGTAGCCAAACGGCTGGCCCTTTTTTATTATAAATAGTATAGCCGAGCGGCCATACTCGGATTTTTTATAATAAAAATAGTACCGCCAAGCGGCCATAATACTGTTTTTATAATAAAATATTAGTATAGCCGAACGGCTATACTAACTTAGACACGTGGCAAAATATGTGCTATGCGGTGGTCTTTTTTAAATAAATCGTATAGCCGTGTGGCGATACTCGAATTTTTTATAATAAAAATAGTATAGCCGTCCGGCTATACCATTTTTACACATGGCGAAATGGGCGCTAGCGCCAAGCGTGTCTTTTTTATTATTATACAAATTATATAGCCGCGCGGCTGTACTCAGTATTTTTTTTAAAAAAAAGTATAGCCTTGCGGCCGTACTATTTGTGACACGTGGCAAAGTGACATTGTAACGACGGGAATGCCCCCCTTTCTCCGTTATATTTCCCAGCAGCACAGTGGAGGGTGCAAACTGCCCTCAACTGAACGTTCCCTTTTTGGCCCTCCCCTTCGGATCCTAAGTCACGTCTCTCTTTATAAAGAATGCCTGATTGTGATACTTAGAATTGGACCCATGAAGGAATGGAAACAAAATCTGCCTACCATGAATAATGCTAGTAATGTGAGGAGCCAAATTAGAGTCAAGCTTTCACCGTGTCCATCAAGTTGTGCTCGTGAGTCATGACTAATTTGCTGACTTGTTATATAGTCACTGAACATAGATGGCTGGCCCTGCAAGAGATAATATGAATTGGAGAAATTGTTGGTTGTGATTTGATTGAATTCAATAATACTACAATGAATACATGGGCCCATCGATGCACCAATTTTCCAAGAGAGAAGTGGCTTATAAGAGCACTTCCACACATTTTCCATAGCAAATGACAAGGGCAAGTAAGGGTGATTACTGTTCATGTGCATAGTATCTTCCATAATAAGGTAATTCTTTCCAAAAGTCAATGTAGTCCTTAATTTTTTTAGCCCATACATCAGTTTGGTTCTTTCATTGTATTCTTTCAAATCTTTGTAAAATTGGTCACATGACACAACTTATTGACCCATGACACAAAGCAAAGAAGACGGTATTGCTCTCTATAACACCAAGTAAAGTAAGAAATCAAATTAGAGAAAGATTGTAGTGGATAGTGGACACTACAATCAAATTAGAGAAAGATTAAGGACTGTTTGTTGGTGCGGTTCCAACTTGTGAGAGTGAATGGGCCTCCTAAGGTTGTTGAATTTTGAACAAGACATCTCAGCAAATACTCCACCAGCTGAACAAATTATACAATTGATGGAGACGCGCACCAGAGTAAAAATGTCCTTCCAAGATTTCTCTTCCTACACAAGCTTGATACTGTTAAAAGTTTTCTGTTTCCTGTTTCCACGCCAAACTCATCAGCTACAAGGATTTTGCTATTGGGAAAATTATTGAATTATTTGATGTGACCGTAACCATGCACCGTAAGGTCAAAGACATATTCATTAATCATATCATCAACGTATGTAAAAAAGCTCTAGCTATGAGAGGTTAAATTATCGGTTAGTCTTTGTGAGGATACTTGGTGTTCAGCTATATTTTAACTGTTCGGTATATTTGTGTTTATCTTTGTAAAATGAAAATAGGGTCATGAAATTTGCTCCCTTAATAATGTCTTTGTATACATCTTACTTTTTAGCATTCACAATATACCCAAGCCTAGGAGCATGGTTTCATAGTGGCACCACCAATGGAAAAATAAAAGAAGAAAGAAAAAGGAAAGGTATAAACAGAATAGAACATCCTTCCCATACTCTGTATATAAAATGCTGAATTCACAAGAACCAGCTGCTAATTGAAGATCAATATAGCAAAATAAGAAGCAAAGCATATATACAAGCAAAACGAAGAAGCCCATGCATAAACAGAATAAAATATCATTACATAATGTCACAGACATGGATACATATATTATCCTTATTCGAATAGTTTCTTGCAAATAGATGCGGCTACATATTTGAGATCAGATAACAAACTTAGCCCTATCTTGAATATTGCTAGCTTCGTCTTCTTCTCCTTCTTCTTCTCAAATTGAGATATGAGTCTCTAGCTGCCTTCATTTTGTTCACAACAAAATCCATTTGTATCCGCTCAGATGGTAATATTGCAGAGCATGAGAGCCCTATCTCCATTACCGAAACCAAACACTCTTCCAATCTTGTTGCACGAATAGCGCTGCCATCCTGATAATTTGTAATTGGCCTTGCTCGTATGTCATTGTATCTTTCATCATCAACATCTGCATCATCTCTCTCAGTGAGCAATGAAGGGTCAATAATGTCCATGGCATGGTCAGGCATTGCCATGGCTGTGAATTGGTGAATGCTTAGACCTTCTGTGAACATGTCATCTGTAGGTCTTTTTCCTGTGAACATTTCTAGCAATAGTATTCCAAAGCTATAAATATCTCCCAAGATGGAAATTTGGCCTCCCATGCCATACTCTGTCATTCATTACATGCATTAGAATGTCACAGTCAAATAATCTTTAGATCTTAAATCTCATTTTTGAGTTTTATTGGAAAAAAAAAGAAAAAAAAAGGCGATTAACTTATTAGGAAGAGAATGGTAGAAACTCATACCTGGAGGAATGTAACCGATGGAACCCTTTAGCCCAGCAGAAATGGTTTGACTTTGGGAGGAACTATCTGATGATTCCAAGAGGAGCCTTGCTAAACCAAAGTCACCAACATGGGCTACCATATCTTCACCAAGAAGAACATTGCTTGGCTTTAGATCACAATGAACAATGGTTGTTTCACAATGGTGGTGGAGATAATCTAATGCAGAAGCAACGTCAATTGCAATATTGAGCCTTTGGATAAGGCTCAATCTCTTACTTTGAGATTGATCATCATCTCTTGGGTGCAACCATGAGTCTAGACTTCCATTTGCCATGAACTCGAAAATTAGACTCTTGAAGTCATTACCCTGATTATCAATGCTCGAGCATGCACTTATGATCTTGAGAAGATTACGGTGTCGTATGCTTCTTAAAACTTTGCATTCATCAATGAAACTCTTGGAAGCTCCTTGTTGTTGAAGGTTTAATACCTTAACAGCAACTACCCTCCCATCGGTAGGAAGTACTCCTTTGTATACAGAACCAAAACTTCCCGAACCAATCAGGTTGTCCACAGAGAACCCGCCAGTTGATTGAACAAGTTCTGAGTAAGAGATTGATTTCCAACCCTTATAAGAATGTGAAGTTGCAGGTCCACCTCTTGACTTTTTCACCTTTGAACGAGCAATGAGGAAGCATGACAAAGCGATTATGAACGCAAGTGCACAAGCTACAGGAATGATTACCTTCGGGGCAAGTCGTTGAGATGAATGGGACTTTTTGATGGAGCATGCATGCAGAAGTAATTCTGGGAGGCCACCGCAGAGCCTATTGTTTCCAATAACTGAGAGACCACTTGCATTTGAAAAGATCCCTTCTTTAGGCAATTCACCCTCAAAATCATTATAAGAAAGATTGAGATGGTTAAGAAACGTAAAATTTTCTAGAAATTTAGGAATCTGCCCAGATAAGTTGTTGCGTGAAATATCTATTTCTTCCAAACTTCTTAAATTTGTGAGGGATTGAGGAATTGTTCCTTCAAATTCATTACCCTCCAAATGCAGGCGTAATAACATAATACAACTGCCGAGGGTTGTGGGGATTTCACCTGATAGCTTATTATTCGATACATTCAGCTGCACAAGATTTACCAAATCACCCACATTGGATGGTAACGAACCAATCAAAGAATTTTGAGAAATGTCCAAAGAAATTGAAAGGGATGAAACTTCGACAAGCTCTCCAGGTATGGTGCCTGTTATGTTGTTATAAGAAAGGTTGAGTTCGAGTAGACTTCGGCAATTCCCAAGACTTGGAGGTATACTTCCCTGGAACATATTATTGCCCATGTAGAGATTTATCAATGAAGTCAAGTTGCCTAAAGAGGACGGTATCCGCCCAGAAAATTTGTTATTATTCAACGAAAGTATCCGTAACTTTTGAAGCTTCCCAATTACATCAGGTACACTACCACTGAAGTAGTTGTTATCCATTTCAAGTTGATTTAAGCTTACAAGATTTCCAATGCCGTCATGGATACTTCCGTGTATTGAATTTTGCGCCAAAGTAAGAACATGTAGTTGGGTAGAAAGGTTGGCTATAGATCTTGGCAATTCTCCTCCAAAATGATTAGTGTCAAGAGCCAACGTCTCTAGGCTAGTACAATTAGCCAAGAAACTGAGAAAGTTCAAGTCGCCAGTTTTCCCATTTCCCAGTCTATTGCTAGCAAAATTTAGCCAATATAAGCTTTGCAAGCTTCCAAGATTTTCAGGGAGTGTCCCAGTGAAACCATTTTTAATAAAATCTAGAGCCAAGAGTCTAGAAGAGTTTGACAATGATGCAGGAACATTGCCTGTGAAATTGTTGCCACCGCCATAAATTTCTTCGAGATTAGGAAGATTAATGCCGAGATTTTGTGGCAGCTCTCCATGCAGCTGGTTGTCAGTCAAACTGAAACTGTATATGGAAGAAATATTATAGATTGAAGAAGGGACAATACCAGACAGATTATTCATTGCAAGTGTGAATTTCTCCAAGCTTGTCAGACGCCCCAGGTCATTGGGTATGCTTCCTTGAAAATTGTTCTCGGTAAGAAAAAGGTCATGCAAAGAAGAAAAGTTTCCAATCCAGGCCGGGATTGTTCCAGTGAGGCTGTTAATATCAATCCATAGAATATTTAAATTCAACAATGAACTAAGTTGGTTAGGAATGGACCCAATAATATGATTGGAAAAAAGACTCAGCACACGTAGTTGTGTACAGTGAGATATATTAGTTGGAATTTTCCCGCCCAAGGAATTTTCAGACAGGTTGAGAGCTTGCAGGCTTTGTAGACGACCCATTTCTTGAGGAATTTCACCATGGAAGCTGTTGTTTCTGAGGTTGATTCCAGTAAGATGAGTAAGATTTCCAATAGAAGGTGGTATAGAGCCTGCCAGTTTATGAGAACTCAAGTTCAAAATCAAGACTCTTTTGGTGGAAGGGTTGCACGTAACGCCAACCCAATTGCAGAAATGAATGGAATCATTCCATGAGCTCAAGACATGGAAAGGATCTCGAGTGATTCTTTTCTTCAAGTCCAGCAGCGCCAGGCGATCAGTTTCACTTCCAAAAGTATTACCGCTGGACAGAGTTGCAGATTCCAGAGGTGTGCTCATGCATAAAAGAATGAACCCATGAAGGAATGGAAACAAAATCAGCCTACCAAGAATGGTGCGTGAATGCCCCATCCCTTTTTCTTTTTTTTAATAAAAAAAATACAGAGCAAATCAGAAACCGAAGTGTTTATTATTTTTTTCCTTTTGCTGTCAAAAGAAGAAACCAAGTGTTTGTAAATGAAAGAAGAAATCCCACTACAATGAATAATGGTAGTAATGCGAGGAACCAAATTAGAGTCAAGCTTTCACCGTGTCTATCAAAATGTGAGGAACCAAATGTGAGAAATAAATGTGAGGAATTGGAAGACCAAACTAGTCCGCAGGGTCCTTGTCGTCACATTTAAGTTGTGCCCGTGACTAATTTGCTGACTTGTTATAGTCATTCAACAATACCCACTAAACATACATGGCTGGCCCTGCAAGTTGTACATGAATTTGAAATGTACAAGTCGTATGCGAAGTATAGGCGATCAATCTGAATATGAATCGGAGAAATTGTTGGTTGTGATTTGATTGAATGCACCAATTTTCCAAGAGGATTGGTGGAGCTACTTGACCCTTCTCAATTTTCCAAATTTGTCCAGATTCATATTTGTATTTGTATCCTTAGTTTTGACCCTTCTAGTCTATGTACGAAGCCAAATTAGAGTCAAGCTTTCACCGTGTCTATCAAGTTGTGCTCATGAGTCACGACTAAGTTGCTGACTTGTTATAGTCACTAAACATAGATGGCTGGTCCTGCAAGAGATAACATGAATTGGAGAAATTGATGGTTGTGATTTGATTGAATGCAATAACACTACAATGAATAATGCATAGGCCCATCGATGCACCAATTTTCCAAGAGGAGTGGTTATTTGATCCTTCTCAATTTTCCAATTTTGTCCGGATTCATATCTGTATTTGTAATTTTTATATAGGCACATCGATGCACTTTCAAACAAATAAAGTGGACAAATACCAAAACATTCAAACAATTATGAAAGCGTGATAAAAAAGAGAGGAAGAAATCATATCGGAGAAAGAAAAGCTCTAATACTAAAGTCAGTGGAAAAAAAAAGTGGGTTTGGTAATTTTAGTGGATGAACAAAAATTTCAACACTTGGGAAAGCGATTTCCCTGTGACAAAATATCATGCCAATGACAGTTAGAAGGAAAAATCATCACGCCAGTGAATCTTGAAGGATAAAAAAAGATTGTCTCAAGCAAAGGTCGTATTAGAAACAGTTTGCCCACAAGAAGCTAAAGAAGAAGAGAAAGGGGCGTCTCCACGATCTGCTGTTAACGAATCACCTAGGGCAATACTAATTGGTTTCTATAGAAAATTAAACCTGCTTATGGTAGGGGAACAAAGCCCCATAGCCTGCTTACTCTGTGTTTTAGGGTTTAGGGTTTAAGGTCATGAGATTCCAAAGCTATAAATATCTACCAAGATGGAAACTTGGCCTCCCATGCCATACTGTCATTCATTACATGCATTAGAATGTCACAGTCAAATAAACTTTAGATCTTAGATCTCATTTTTGAGTTTTATAGGGAAAAAAAAAAGGCGATTAACTTATTTGGAAGAGAATTAATGGTAGAAACTCATACCAGGAGGAATGTAACCGATGGAACCCTTTAGCCCAGAAGAAATGGTTTGACTTTGAATAAGGCTCAATCTCTTACTTTGAGATTGATCATCGTCTCCAAACCACTACACTAGTAGGTCATTTGCTAACAGCACTTCATCTTTGTCATGGTGATTGTTACCCAAGTAGAAGTTTAGGTTTACTCTATTATACTGGTTTGGAAAGTGCAAATCAAAAAAATGCATGCACAGACGCACTTGCCAATTTGATTTTGGCAGACTTCAAAGAACTAAATTGCACCAGCCAGGTAGAGAGACTGCACTCTTAACCAGAAGTTATAGCTTTGATTCAATCATTAACTATATGATGAGACCAATTAATATCTATAAAGTATGTTGACGTGAGTCTCCTAATTAATCAAGGAATTAAGGGATTTACTTTCTTATTTTATATAGTTGACAAATCATTATATAATTAGGAGATACTATCATAATTGATTACAATATATATTTTCTTGTAAAGCACTGATGTAAATTCCTATATATACCTCCTTATAGAGAAGAATAAAACTTAGGGCATGTTTACGTATCAGTAACGAAGAAAGTAAGGAATCAGAGAATTTAGGAATCGAGGAACTACTGAATCGGTATGGGAAGAATCATTCCCATTAAGCTATTTACTAAACATATGGAATTAGCAAAGGAATGTGATTGATTCCCATTGTTATTGTTTACTAATTTGCATGAATCATAATCCAAATTAATTTTAGAATTATGGTAAAGTGGTAAGGGTATTTTTGGAAGTTATTAAGAGAAAACAGGAATGGGAATCGTATCGACTACTCCCCCTAGTTGATCTGATACCTAGTTTTGAGGGAATGTGATTATGGATTTTGAGGTGGGGCCCACTTATTTTTTCATTCATGATTGCAAGTAAATGCTGGGGAAGTCATGAATGGAAATCATTCCCTTTCCTCCCATACCCATTACTGATACGTAAACATGCCCTTAACTTAAAGTATTCAAACCATATTCATATTTTAGCATGGTATCAGAGCAATTGATCCTAGGTTGTCTCTAAACCCTTATCTCAAATTTCTCACATTCAAATCCAAAACCTTAAATTAAATTCCTCATATTTTTCCCCAAATCTAAACCCCTCAAATATAAGGTCCTCAAATCCCCTTATCAAAATCCCTAAACACATACCCTCAAATCATATACACATACCTCTCAAATCCAATTCCTATATCAAATTCATACATCAAATTCCTCAAATCAAATTCCTCCAATCAAAATTTCTCACATTCTCAGATCACATCTTACTTCCACTGCGATGTCAGGAACCCCTATTATTCTCCCCTTTATTGCATACTCACATAAGCATGCAGTCAATCCTACTGACCTGGCTACCCGGACTCGTGCTTCTATCACCACCACCAAAGGTTCTGCTTTTCATACATCCTCTCAAAAATCCGCATGGATTATAGACTCGGGTTCTACGGATCACATGACATTTAATCTTGGCCAACTTATTAGTCGCAAATCATCCACTCCGTCGGTGGTGTCTAATGCTAATGGTACCCCATCCCTTGTGGTTGGGGAGGGCTCTTTATCTCTCTCTACTTCCCTACAACTAAATTCTGTATTTCTTGTTCCATCTTTAGACCATAACTTGTTGTCTGTTGCATAACTTACTACTACTTTGGGGTGTACTATAACATTTTAGCCAAATCATTGTGTTTTTTAGGACATCCTCACAGGAAAGACGATTGGTTGTGGTACTCGGTAGGGCAAACTCTACTACTTGGACTGGGCACCGGATAGTGAGATCAAGGTTAGTCAAGCTTTCACAACCAGTGGAACTCATTCTAAAGGGGAGAGGGACAAAGTTTGGTTATGGCATAAACGTCTTGGGCATGCCTCGTTCAGTTATCTTAAGAAGTTATTTCCATCATTATATTCCAGTCTTTATGTTTCTAGCTTCCAGTGTGATACGTGTGAATTGGCTAAGAGCCATTGTGTCCCATTCCCATTAAGTTCAAATAAGAGTTTGGTTCTGTTTTCTCTTGTTCATTTTGATGTTTAGGGACCTACTAAAATTGCTACTCCAACAGGAGCTCGATGATTTGTCACGTTTATAGATGATTGCACACGCATGACTTGGGTTTCCCTTCTCATAACTAAAAGAGAAGTCAGTTCCAAGTTTCAACAGTTTTATCAAATGTTGAAGACTCAGTTGCATGCAAGAATTCAGGTTCTTCGTTCTGACAATGGCAGAGAATTTCTCAACCATGATCTTAACAAGTTCTTACAAGATCATGGCATCATACATCAACGCTCATGCCCTTACACTCCCCAACAGAATGGGGTGACTGAAACAAAGAACAGACACTTATTGGAAGTAGTTTGTGCCTCTCTCTTTGGTGCCATTATGCCACGATCTTTTTGGGGCGAAACCGTCGTCTATGCAGCATACGTCATCAATCGGATTCCCTCTAGTATCCTAAATTTCCAAACACCACTTCAAACACTTCACCACCATATCCAAACACCTCCCACCCCAAACCTGGAACCCCAAATTTTCGGATGTGTTATATTTGTCCACTTACAAGATCACCAACGAAGCAAATTGGATGCCCGAGCTAAAAAGTGTGTTTTCAATGGCTATGCACCTCATCAGAAAGGATAAGTTTCTAATAGAAAATTATAAGGGAGCAACCTCATAACCTGCTTACTCTGTGTTTTACTCTTCTCTTATTATTATTATTATTTTTGAGAGCTGATTTCCCCACTCTTCTTTTATCCATTTACACTCCCTTTGTTAGAAATTGTATGTTCTCACTCCTCTTTTGTCTACTTACACTTCCTTTTTTGTTATAGTAAAAACTATTAAAAAACAAAAGGGAGTGTAAGTGGACAAAAGGGGAGTGGGAAAATCACCACCCTTATAACCTGTTTTTACTATTCTCTGTGTTAAGGACTATTTGGTGTGCGGTTCCAACTTGTGAGTTAAGTGAGTGGGGCTCCTAAGGTTGATGAATTTTGAGCAAGACATCTAATTAAAACACATGTACAATCCAGTAGCTAAACAAATTATACAAATGATGGAGACACACACTGGAGAAAAAATATCCTTTCAAGTGTTCTCTTCCTACAATTGTAACATCCTACATCGACCAACAAAGAATGGGTGATGTGCCTTATATGTACATGCCCGCCTCCATCTAGCACGAGGCTTTTTGAGAGCTCATTGGCTTCGGAGTCATGGGAACTCCGAAGTTAAACGAGTTTGAGCTAGAGCAATCTTAGGATGGGTGACCCACTGGGAAGTTACTCGTGAGTTCCCATATACAAAATCAGAGTTCTCACCTATGAGCTTCCAGATCCAGCCATGGTTGATCTCAAATGCCTCCAAAAACGAGTTGTTTTCAGATTTAGGAGAAAACAAGCTCAAGCAGCTTTGTGAGCTTTGAACGAGCCTCCAAATTTGCTGATGATTCTCCTTTCACAGATTGAACACCCAGCTTCAGATGATTGAACCTGGCTCTGAGGCCATGTTAGTGTTTTAGGTGTTTTGAATTCAGAGATTGCATAAGAAAACAAAGAGGGAAGGAGCAAGAAGAATTGACAAAATCTATCTGCTATACGTGTAGCAAAGAATGTTGATTTTCTATTCTCACTCTTACAACCTCATGCACTTAGTGTGAGGAATATATCCGTTAAGCACAGTAGTCGGATCCCTTACATCACAAGGTAATCTCAACCGTTCACTTAGGCAACCAATAGGAAGCTTACACTTGTCTTAAAAAAGAAATAAAATGAAGAACTAATTAAGCTAACTCTTAAGTCAGCTTAAGGCTTATAATTCAACAATTCCATGAGCTCATGAGATGGAGAGGATTTTGAGTGATTCTTTTCTTCAAGTCCAGCAGCGCCAGCCGATCGGTTTCATTTCCAAAAGTATTGCTACTGGGTAGAGTTACAGATTCCAGACATGTGTTCATGCATAAAAGAGTGAGCCCAAGAAGGAAGAAACCTTATCACACACAATTTTTAAAATAAAAAATAAAAAAGCTTCACGGTGTGTTAGGTGGTGGAAAATTTTAGTGGATGGATAAAAAAACTCAAAACAATTTTGAAAGTGTGCATAAAAGAAAGAAATCTTATCACACAGAGAGAGAGAGCTTCATTGTGGGTTGGAAAAATTTTAGATGATGAATAAAAAACTTAAATACTTTTGAATGTCTGCATTAAATAGCGAAGAAATCTTATCACAGAAAGAAAATAATAAAGAAGCTTCATTGTAGTGTTGGAAAAATTTTAGCCGGTGAATAAAAAAATCAAAATATTCTGAAAGCCAACTTTTCAAATGAAATTTGATGAATCTGCTGTAATTCTTCTTGCCTAATTAGTCACTAACAATGTATATGATGAGGCCTGCTTTCTCTGTTTTTTTCCTTCTCTTTTATTATAATTATTTTGCTGCATGTCGCCTAATTCGCCATTAACAATTTGATGAGACCAATTATGATGCTAGTGAATCTTGAAGGAACCAAAAAGATTATTATCTCTAGCAAAGCTAATGGAAGATCAATTAAGTAGAAACCAGCAATCAGCCTGATGTCATTTTCACTTCTTCATTCTCTGGTTTTCAAGGATTTTTACTCATTGCTATACACATTGAGAGAAACTCTTTCCAAGGAAACAGCATGGAGTGTCTTGTAATCATTAAAGCAAAAACTTGTTTTTTTTTGGGGGTCAAGTGGGGGTGGTGAGCCGAGCCCAAAGGCCATTACAATATTGTACATCGTTCAGGATAGAACAAATGTCATGTACAGAGTGAAAAGAGGGCTTTTTATGTGCAACAAGCATCAAGGGTAAGGCCATTTTGGTGCATCTGGGACAAGAAAGATGGGGGACCGCTACCAAAATCTACAAGATCCATTTCATTGCCCAAACCCAGAATCCACTTGAATTATTCTAGACCTGCTTGGAACCTAGCTAGCTATGACATTACAATGGCTGGAGTATCTCCACCACAACCCCAAAATATGGTTGGAAAGAAAATCAGATATAAACCTTATATTTGGGACCCTGTCATATCCATGGATGAGACATCCACAATATTTGGGACCCTGTTAGTGATAAGTCAACAGAAGTTAATGTGATAGGAACATGTACAACATAGACCACCAAATGTACCTATAACCGAAGGAAAACTATCTAAAGATAAATAAGGGCACGCACGATGATGAAGCTTAGCTATCAACATCCCTAAGGAAAGGACAATCACTCATTATGTGGGACACCTGGCCAGGCTTGAGGCATGCATGGTTCTCCCATTACGATTGGCCTTTTTATTTTCTGCCTGCAATGTAGACGAAATCAAATAGATCTCTAGATAATGATCCACTGTCAATCACTCTTGGTCTTCACCTCTTAAGTTCCCAGATTTTCTTCTCACTTGGTAGTTGGAATTTAGATCGCTATTTTCTGTTCACAAATACTATGACTGTGCCCCATAGTGCATTTCTATTATCTGTGCTATGTCCACAAACTCAAAATAAGAAGTCAACTTCAGAGTTGAGACTTTTATAATGATGCTTCATCTTAGACTCCGCGCAAATTTTATACAGAGCTCACAGGCCACAAGTAAGGAGTAAAATGCAGTCATCAAACCTAGATAATTATTTATGCATTTCATACCTCCTCTATACCAACTGTACCAACTTCATGAACTTCAATTCCTTGTGGTCCCACACTCCCCTTGTGAAGCATTTCCGATGAAACCTTTCCTTGACTGGTATCCCATCCAGCCTAAAATACTGTTGCACTAGATTAGCTAGACTCTGTATGACCTTATAAAGCCTTTCAAGAACTTCAGGTGTTGCGCCATAACACGAAAACCTAAAGTCATTATGCTACTTCCCTTCCCTACATGAAAAATCACGTAATGCTCTCCTAGACTGCAATCTCAAAATCCAACATTAGGCTCTCAATATAATCTTAACAAAATTCAAGAGCACATTTTCTATTGATTTACGACAATTGACAGGTGCCCTTATACAACAATTGTCAAGAGCATGTTTAAACAAATTAAAACACCTACATTATCTAGCGTTTCAATCAAAATTCAAAATTGAAAAATTGAAAAAGCTATGAACTATTGAATACTAAAATTTACAATGAATGAACAGAGGCAACAGACCTTGACGACACGGGGAGAGAGAGAATGCGTTTGGATGCTGGAGAGCGAGAACTGAAAAGTCAGCCTAGGCGGGCGGCTAGGCCTTCTAGGCGGTGGCTAGGCGGCTAGGCGGTGGCTAGGCGGTGGCTAGGCGGCTAGGCGGTGGCTAGGTGGCTAGGCGGCTAGGCAGTGCTAGGAGGGCGCTAGGCAGCTAGGCGGTGGCTAGGCTGACGCCTAGGCGGGTTGGGTCTTTTTTCGGTGCCGAACCTGGAGGACGAAGCAGTGACTGGGAGAGAAAGTTCCGTCCTCTGCGAGTGCAAGCTTCGTGTTCGTTTGAGTATATTTAAAGAGTATAGCCGATCGGCTGTACTTTTAAAATATTCGAATGTAATTAGAAAGTATAGCCGTGCGGCATCATTTTTGCTTTGTCCAGGGCACGTGCAGCATCTGCTATGAGAGCTCTTTGCTTTAAACTCAAGGAAGGATGCAAAATGAAGAAAGGACGCTCTGATACCACTTGATGCAGTTCAAGTATGAACTCGCAGAGCTTGTTACTATTTTTTTCCTTGTGGATTTCCTTACTACTCTTCACCTCGTTTCTTACTTGTTTTGCACTTTAAAGTATGCTAATAATCTGGTTGGCTAAAAATGTATGTGAATAATTTCACAATCTACTGTCTACTAGATCCCTCCTCTAGTTTATGAATCTTCGAGGTAATTTATTTCATTAAAAAGTAAACTAAAATCATAATTTCATTTAATAGGGAGAAAGAGTACCAGAAGATGCCTTCTGCCATTACTCAGACTCCTCATGGTTGAAGATATGATAGAGATTCATGGTCATTTCAGAATCCTCATGGTTGATGTTGTTGTGTTCTTTGTTTTCTTGACCTTGCTTCAAATTATGAACCCCCAGATTCACTTGCGGAGTGGCTTGAAGCTGGTGAACAGCCTGTCTATATTGAATTTGATAGCCTTGTGAGTTTGTTGCGGCTTTCACTATACATGTTTAATATTCGTTTCCCAGTTCTATCCCAGAGTAGCTCTGTTTGTCTTTACCCTAAAAAAATTACTTGTTCCTTCCCAATTTAAACAATCAACCAAAGCCACCCACAATCTCCAAAGAGTGACCACCTTGTTAGTGTTTTCTGAGATTTTGGAAGGCAGAGTGATAAAGAAGAAAAGAAGAATTTAGAGCAAAGATTTCTGTCCCATACGTGTAGTAGCAGAATGTTCTATTCCCTTCAGTCACTCTCTCTTCCTTACAACCTCACGCACATAGTGTGAGCGAACTGAGCTGGTCTGGAATGGACCCAATAAGCTCGTTGAAAGCTAGATGAAGCCCTCTCAGTTGTGTTCAGTGTGATATGTTAGATGGAATTTTCCCGCTGAAGGAATTTATAGACAGGTTGAGATATTTCAGGCTCAGTAAACGACCCATTTCTTGAGGAATTTCGCCATGAAAGCTGTTGTTTCTGAGGTTGATTCCTGTAAGATGAGTAAGATTCCCAATAGAAGGTGGTATGGATCCTACCAGTTTTGAGAATTCAGGTTCAAAATCAAGACTCTTGGTGGAATGGTTGCATTTAACGCCAACCCAAATGCAAAAATTAATGGAAGCATTCCATGAGCTCATGACATGCAGAGGATCTTGAGTGATTCTTTTCTTCAAGTCAAGCAGTGCCAGGCGATGGGTTTCATTTCCAAAAGTATTGCTACTGGGTTAGAGTTACAGATTCCAGACATGTGCTCGTGCTCAAAAGAATGAGCCCAAGAAGGAACTTGAACAAAATCAGCCTACCATGAGTACACCGTGAATGCTCCATATTTCTAGCTTCTTCTTGTAGATTGAGATGGTAACATTTTACCAAAATCTACAAGATTAACTCTAATTTCCCAAACCCAGATGTAAGACAGTTGTAAATAAATGATCTCCACAATCTCAATCTCTGCACCATATAAATTAAAATTTGGAAGCTCCACCAAGTCATATCCTCTGTGTTTATTTTTATTTTTGTGTTCTTTTTTGACAAAGTCGTATCCAGAAGCTCTGATGAGGTCCACTTGAATTACTCTAGACTAAGGTATGTTTCTTGGAACCCAAGCTAGCCATGACATTGTTGGTGTATTATCATGGGTCCAGCCCATGAGAGAAGAATATACTATCGGTGTCAGTCAAAAGGTCGATATCATTGCCAACACAATGATGACACCATTATAATATTAAAAAGACAAAGGATGATGTTGGGCAAATAATGTTGCCAGTGGCTCATATCCGTTGGAAGTAAATCCCAAGGCTTCTCAAGCCTTCCTTGCTCAATTATAAAAAGGACGCTAGTTCTTCATTTGCGGAGTAGAAGCCGAGAGGCAGAGAGAAGTGAGAGAACACCATCCAAAAGCCATCAGTATTCACTACTAGAAAAATGCTCTATAGGGACCCTTTATCAGAGACCGATATAAAAACAGCCTCTATAGAATGCTATTGGAGACTGATAATAGAAACAGTCCCTATAAAATGTCATTGGATACGGATTAATAATTTTCATGACTAATTATTTGAATAAAGTAGAAAATAAAGCACGGAAAAACTTAAAATCGTGCCTAAACCCTCCATCATTTCCAGTAAGGCACGAACCAACACAAAGACAGTGCCAACTAAAGACTTTATACATATACATTACATTGACTACACCATTCTTTATTTTTGTACCCCTCTTTTGCCATCTAAAATTTTGACAGCTGTATACCCTCTCAGATTTTGGTTTTCAATTTTCTTTTCTTTCTTCAGGCAAGCAAATCATCGCTCTCGCTCTCACTCCTCACTCTATCAACCCTATCTCGTTCTCTCTCTCAACTCTGGATCCACCTCCTCCCTCCTCTCTCTCAATCTCACTCAGATCCTCTTCTCTCTCAGATCTCGCTGCCTCTCTGGGCTTTAATCTAAGGTATGAAAATCCCTAAGCTTTCGATGTTTGGGTGTTTCTGATTTGGTGTTTTTGGTTTGGTTTAATTTGTCGGTATTTGATATTTGGACTATTTTTGTTTTTCTGTTGCTGTATTTTTGGTTTTGATGTTATCGTTGCTAGTTTAGGAAAGAGAAGCTATGAAAAGAAAAAGGGGAGAGAAATAAGAGGGAAGGTATTCTATTGTTCTGTTCTTGTGCATTTGATTTGTTACTGATTTTCTCTTTTATTGGCACCTGTGATTTTGTCTGTATTAAAATCATGGGTTGCATGAACTATACTAGCAAGACAACTGTGGGGGGCTTTAGTTAATTAATTGTAACATATGCAACATATTTGGAACCATTGCAAATTAACAAGACATTAGTTTTGGGGTGATTCAATCAGGAACCAATTAATCTTTCAAAAGAAAAACAAAACTGAGAAGTGGGTTTTAGTCATAATGGAACCTTGGAATTTACATATATTGAAAGCAGAGTAGTCGTAGCTAGGCATCATTGTTTTACATATGCACTTAAATTTACGTAAGTAATTTTGTCATCATTGTTTTAATTACTAGCTAGCTTGAAATTTGGTTTGCAGTTTAGGTCATCAGGGGATTCTATTGTCCATGTAGCGGTTGATGCCAAGTAACTCGTGCGTATATTACATATTGGCTCTGTGGATGTGCTTAAAATAGGTATGTAGTGCACTGCTCTTGGTTTGCTTTCGTTCATTACAAATTGTGAATCCCGTGGCTCTTCTTGTTTTGTACAATTAGACTTGATATTTGCAGCTGTTGAACTGGATCCTTAATGTTTTGAGAGCGTTTTTGTAGTTTTATCAATATAATCTCATCCCTAGTTGTCGATGTTTTATAAGCAGTATGCAATTTTGAGACCATCTATAAGGTTTGAGTATAAGAGAGTGAGGTAGTTGTCTTGTCTCTTCCACTTTTAGTGGATAGACAATTGCCTAGTTGAAATTAACTAAAAACAATGTTCTAAAACAATTTCTTTCAAATTTTATATTTGGATATGTTTGTAATTTTAAGAAGAAGAAGATGTCTGATTCATCCACTAACTTTTGAAGCTTCCCAATTCCATCAGGGACTGTACCACTCAGATAGTTAAACTCCACTGCTAATGAGGTCAAGTTCACAAGATTTCCAATTTCTTTAGGGAGGCTTCCGTGGATCAAATTGATCCCAAAACTAAGATCTTTTAGTTGGGTAGAAAGGTTGGCTATGGATGGTGGAAATTCTCCTCCAAATTGATTTCGAGAAAGATCCAATATCTCTAGGCTAGTACAATTAGCCAAGAAACTGAGAAAATTCAAATCGCCAGTTTTCCCTTTTCCCAGACTATTCCCAGCAAAGCTTATCCAAACTAAGCTTGGCAACCTTCCAAGATTTTCAACAGGGAGTGTCCCAGCCCAGTGAGACCGTTAGAAGTAAAATCAAGCAACCGAAGTCTAGAAGAATTTAACAATGATGCAGGAACACTTCCTGTGAATTTGTTGGCACCACTGTAAAAGCATTCGAGATTAGGAAGATTAATGGCGAAATTTGGTGGTAGCTCTCCATGAAGCTGGTTGGCTACAACACTGAAATTGTATATGGAAGAAATATTATAGATTGAAGAAGGGACAATACCAGACAAATTATTATGCCCAAGAAAGAGTTCCCCCAGGCTTGTCAGACGCCCGAGCTCGTTGGGTATGCTTCCATGAAAATTGTTGGGACCAAGAGCAATGCCTTCCAAGGATGAAAAGTTTCCAATCCAATTTGGGATGGTTCCAGTGAGATTGTTGTGAGAAAGTGCTAGGCTATTTAAACTCATCAATGATCTGAGGTTGTCGAGAATCGACCCAGTAATTGCATTGATTTGAAGATCCAGCACCCTTTGTTGGGTACAGTGCGATATGTTAGTTGGAATTTTCCCGCTGAAGGAATTATCAAACAGCCCGAGATATTGCAGGCTTCGTAGACGACCCATTTCTTGAGGAATTTCACCACTGAAGTAGTTGTTCATCAGGTTGATTTTAGTAAGATGAGTAAGATTTCCAACAGAAAGCGGTAAGGAGCCTACCAAGTTTAGAGAACTAAGGTCCAAAACCAAGACTCTTTTGGTGGAACAGTTGCACGTAACTAGAGGTGTCAAACGGGACGGGCTGGCCCAGCACGACACGAGCCCAGCTCATTTAAATGAGGCACGGCACGACATGAGCACGAATATTAATGGGCCGTGCTCGGCACGGCACGAAAACTTGGGCCGGGCTGGGATCAAAAAATGAGGTCCAATGGACCAGGCTGGCCCATGGATCGACATGGGTCGGGCTTAGCCCGAGCACGCTTCAAGCACGGCCCACTTACATTTTTTTCTTTCTCAAAAGTCAAAATGCAATAATTTGACATATGATGTCATTATTTATATGTTTTTTTAATCATAAATATATATTTGATGTCTTTCATTTTAGGGAAATTACTTAGGTCCTTAATTAATTAAACATATCAACTACAAATTAATTCAACAATATTGGACTTGATATCTAATCAGTACATATGACATATATGCTTCTCTTATAATCAAAGCAAGACATTATTTCACATATAAAATAATAAGTTGTTTAAAGATGAAAAGTTGAAGTGGACTTTGTAGAGTTTGACACTTTTTGCCCTTTGCCATTTTCATATTGTTTGGATGTTTGATTGATTAATTTTTTCAAATAGTTCATCATTTCTTGCCTCTAATTATATTTTTAATGTTTATAATTTGAATTATCTAGTGAAAAAAAAATGAAGTGAAAAAAATTCAAATTAAATGGATTGGTTCTTGGGCCCGAGTATGGCACGAGCACGGGCACGGCACGAGCCTGGCCCGGCCCGTTTCAATATGGACAGGGGCTTTGGGCCGGGCCGGGATCAATAATTTTACTAAATGGGCCGGGCCGGGCCGGCCCGGCCCGACAAGAAAACGTTAAAAGCACGAGTTTAAATGGGATGGGCCGGCACCGCACGGCCCATTTGACACCTCTACACGTAACGCCAACCCAACTGCAGAAATGCATGGAAGAATTCCACGAGCTCATGACATGGAAAGGATCTTGAGTGATTCTTTTCTTCAAGTCCAGCAGCGCCTCACGATCAGTTTCATTTCCAAAACCATTACCGTTGGCACTGGGTAGAGTTGTGCTCATGCATAAGAGAATGAGCCCAAGAAGGAACTTGAACAAAATCAGCCTACCATGAGTTCTACGTGAGTGCTCCGTCCTTTTTTGTAATAACAGAGCAAATTGGAAACCAAGTACGTTTGTGTCTCTCTTTTTTTTTTTCTTCTTCTTCTTTTGCTGTCAAAATAAGAAACCAAGTCTGAGTTTCGTTTACAGGAATGCATAACAAGGAGCATATATAGTCTAAGATCCCACTGTGTCTGTCTAGAATTGACGGTTTAAAAGTACAGAGAAGGAAAAATTGAAGTATTTTTTTTTCTGGACTAGACAAAAATAAAAATCCAAATACAAATATGAATTTGGACAAAATTGGACAATTGGGATGCGCCTATGCATCGACGGGCCTGTGCATTCAATCAAATCACAAGCAACAATTTCTCCAATTCATATTATCGTTTTTTAGACTATTACTGCTTTGAAAATGTCCTTTAATTTGTAGGGAGTAGGAAGATACAAATTTCAAATACACAGACAAAAAAAAAGTTAGCATTCCCAAACATGAGACACAATTACCCCAGGAAAATAAAATCAATTCTTCTCCTTTGGTCATATTTATCGAAAAGCAAATATGATCATTGATAGTCTCGCTACCTTAAATTATCAGTATCAACAAGGTTGTATTATGTTTAATATGTAGGATTTCAAAATTTACAGAGAATCTTCCTTGTAATTTACTTCATATTTATATAATAGTAAAAAGACCAAAAAAATTAGAGTAATCAAATTTTATATAGAGGCTGTCGTTCTTTTTCCCCGTGCAGCTTGTCCTGTTTGGGACATTTTCCAGGCTTTCCACTTTCCAGGAAACTTCATTGCCTTCTTCTACCATCTCCTCACGACAGAGAAGTCTTGGCTGGACCTTTCTGTTTCTCAATAGGAGCCAGAGTAGGACAAGACCCAGAGGGTAAGAAGGCAGGCGTTGTTGACCTGGTAGAAAAACACAAGTCAAGTGTTAGATTTTAGACGTCAATTTGGGTTCTTGTACCGCCCACTCACCAATTACCACGGCCAAGATTTGAAAAGTCACTAGAGCATTTCCAACGATATAAGTAAACGAAGTAGGTAAAAAGTGTACTGATGTGGCATGCTGCTTATGCTTTTTGAAAAAAACTGCTTATTTCAATGGACTAGGTAAATGAATTAAGCAATGCAACATTATATTATTTATTTTTATCTTTTACATTTACCGTATTTCACATAGCACAAAAAAAAATTGTATTATATAAAAATAAAATTTTGTAGGGTCCAATATACCTTTTCACTTTGAAGTAGACAATATTGCCTTATTTGTGAGAGTAAGTATATTTTGTCTACCCATTTGCCTCTTCCTTTGTAAACATAAAAATGTTGATGTGGTAAGAGCATCTCCAAGGGAGTATGCAAATGAAATAGGTAAAATTATATTATGACAACCTAAGTGGTATTTTGCCTACTCTTTTGCTTCATGAAAAAAGTTGGTCACACCAATGAACTAGACAATGCATCTGCAAGGACACATCGACACTAATTTGGTCTTAAATTCCTTGCTAGTGCTAGACTCGGTGAAAGCTTGACTCTAATTTGGTTGGTCCTCACATTTTCTAGCTATCTCAATATTTCTCTTATATTTATTTCATAGGGTTCATTTCAATTTGGTGTCTTGCAGTTATACCATTAAAGCATGTTTCTCCTTGTGTTTTCAATTTTAAAACAATGAAGTACCCGTCCTTTACAGTCAACATGTTCTTAGTCTTAATTTTGTATGTTTTGCAGGACCGAGATTAATCCCACCCTTCGGGTGTGGGGACACACCTCATGGTATTTTTAAATAAAAAAAGAAATCCCACTACAATGAATAATGCTAGTAATGTGAGGAGCCAAATTAGAGTCAAGCTTTCACCGTGTCTATCAAGTTGCGCTCGTGAGTCATGACTAACTTGCTGACTTGTTATAGTCACTAAACATAGATGGCTGGCCCTGCATGATATAATATGAATTGGAGAAATTGTTGGTTGTGATTTGATTGAATGCAATAACACTACAATGAATAATGCATAGGCCCATCGATGCACCAATTTTCCAAGAGGAGTGGTTAGTTGACCCTTTTTATTTATTTTCCATGGATGCACCAATTTTCCAAGAGGAGGGTAAATTTGTGTTTATCTTTGTAAAATGAAAATAGGGTCATGAAATTTGCTCCCTTAATAATGTCTTTGTATACATCTTACTTTTTAGCATTCACAATATACCCAAGCCTAGGAGCATGGTTTCATAGTGGCACCACCAATGGAAAAATAAAAGAAGAAAGAAAAAGGAAAGGTATAAACAGAATAGAACATCCTTCCCATACTCTGTATATAAAATGCTGAATTCACAAGAACCAGCTCCTAATTGAAGATCAATAAAGCAAAATAAGCAGAATAGAACATCCTTCCCATACAAACAAAACGAAGAATCCCATGCATAAACAGAATAAAACATCATTACATAACGTCACAGACATGGATACGTATAATATCCTTATTCGAATAGTTTCTTGCAAATAGATGCGGCTACAGATTTGAGACCAGATAAGAAACTTAGCCCTGTCTTGAATATTCCTTGCTTCTTATTCTCCTTCTTCTTCTCAATTGAGATATGAGTCTCTAGCTGCCTTCATTTTGTTCACAACAACATCCATTTGTATCCGCTCAGATGGTAATATTGCAGAGCATGAGAGTCCTATCTCCATTACCGAAACCAAACACTCCTCCAATCTTGTTGCATGGACAGGGCTGCCATCATGATAACTTCTAACTGGCCTTGCTCGTATGTCATTGTTGTATATTTCATAATCACCATCTGCATCATCTCTTACAATGAGCAATGAAGGATCAATTACGTCCGTGGCATGGTCAGGCATGGCCATGGCTGCGAATTGGTGAATGCTTAGACCTTCTGTGAACATGTCATCTGTAGGTCTTTTTCCTGTGAACATTTCTAGCAATAGTATTCCAAAGCTATAAATATCTCCCAAGATGGAAACTTGGCCTCCCATGCCATACTCTGTCATTCATTACATGCATTAGAATGTCACAGTCAAATAATCTTTAGATCTTAGATCTCATTTTTGAGTTTTATAGGAAGAAAAAAAAAGGCGATTAACTTATTTGGAAGAGAATGGTAGAAACTCATACCCGGAGGAATGTAACCGATGGAACCCCTTAGCCCAGCAGAAATGGTTTGACTTTGAGAGGAACTATCTGATGCTTCGAAGAGGAACCTTGCTAAACCAAAGTCACCAACATGGGCTACCATATCATCACCAAGAAGAACATTTCTTGGCTTTAGATCACAATGAACAATGGTTGTTTCACAATGGTGGTGGAGATGATCTAATGCAGAAGCAACATCAATTGCAATATTGATCCTTTGGATAAGGCTCAATCTCTTACTTAGAGATTCATCATCGTCTCTCGGATGCAACCATGAGTCTAGACTCCCATTTGCCATGAACTCGGAAATTAGACTCATGAAGTCATTACCCTGATTATCAACGCTCGAGCATGCACTTATGATCTTGAGAAGATTACGGTGTCGTATGCTTCTTAAAACTTTGCATTCATCAATGAAACTCTTGGAAGCTCCTTGTTGTTGAAGGTTTAATACCTTAACAGCAACTACCCTCCCATCGGTAGGAAATACTCCTTTGTAAACAGAACCAAAACTTCCCGAACCAATCAGATTGTCCACAAAGAACCCGCCAGTTGATTGAACAAGTTCTGAGTAAGAGATTGATTTCCAACCCTTATAAGAATGTGAAGCTGTAGGTCCACCTCTTGACTTTTTCACCTTTGAACGAGCAATGAGGAAGCATGACAAAGCGATTATGAATGCAAGTGCACAAGCTACAGGAATGATTACCTTTGGGGGAAGTAGTCGTTGAGATGAATGGGACTTTTTGATGGAGCAGGCATGTAGACGTAATTTTGGGAGGCCACCACAAAGCCTATTGTTTCCAATAACTGAGAGACCACTTGCATTTGAAAAGATCCCTTCTTTAGGCAATTCACCCTCAAAATCATTATAAGAAAGATTGAGATAGTGAAGAAACGGAAACTTGCCTAAAATTTCAGGAATCTGCCCAGATAAGTTGTTGCGTGAAATATCTATTTCTTCCAAACTTCTTAAGCTTTTAAGAGATTGAGGAATTGTTCCTTCAAATTCATTACCTTCCAAATACAGGCGCATCAACATAATACAACTGCCAAGAGTTGTTGGAATTTCGCCTGATAACTTATTTCCTGATACATCCAGCTCCACAAGATTTACCAAATCACCCACTTCATGTGGTAACAAACCAGTTAAATAATTTTGAGAAATGTCCAAAGAAATTGAAAGGGATGAAACTTCGACAAGCTCTCTAGGTATGGTGCCTGTTATATTGTTATAAGAAAGGTTGAGTTCGAGTAGACTTTGGCAATTCCCAAGACTTGGAGGTATACTTCCCTCAAACCTATTGTTGAACAGGTACAGTTGTGTCAATGAAGTCAAGTTACCCAGAGAGGACGCTATTGGTCCAGAAAATTTGTTATCATTCAAAAACAGTCCCACTAACTTTTGAAGCTTCCCAATTCCATCTGGGACTGTACCAGTTAGATGGTTAAAGTCCAGTGCTAACATGGTTAAGTTTACAAGATTTCCAATGTCGTCAGGAATGCTTCCGTGGATTAAATTGCCCCCCAAGTAAAGAGATGTTAGTTGGGTAGAAAGGTTGGCTATGGATCGTGGACATTCTCCTCCAAATTGATTACTAGAAAGATCCAATGTCTTTAGGCTAGTACAATTAGCCAAGAAGCTGAGGAAATTCAAATCGTCAGTTTTCCTGTTTCCCAAACTATTCTCAGCAAAGTTTAGGCTAACTAAGGTTCGCAAGGTTCCAATATTTTCAGCAGGGAGTGTCCCCGTGAAACCATTAAAAGGAAAATCAAGGATCTGAATTCTAGAAGAATTTAACAACGATGCGGGAACAGTTCCTGTGAATTTGTTGCTACCACACATAAAAATTTCGAGATTAGGAAGATTAATGCCGAGATTTCGTGGTAGCTCTCCATGGAGATGGTTGACAGAAACACTAAAATGCTTTATGGAAGAAATATTATAGATTGAAGAAGGAACAATACCATACAGATTATTCGCTGCTAGCGAGAACACCTCCAAGCTTGTCAGACGCCCGAGCTCACTGGGAATGCTCCCATGAAAATTGTTGCGAGTCAGACGAAGGCCTTTTAGAGATGAAAAATTTCCAATCCAATTTGGGATAGTTCCAGTCAGTTTGTTGCTATAAAGTTCTAGGTGATTTAAACTCATCAATGATCTGAGGTCGTCGGGAATCGACCCAGTAATCGCATTGAATCGAAGATCCAGCACCCTTAGTTGGGTACAGTGCGATATGTTAGTTGGAATTTTCCCGCCCAAGGAATTTTGAGACAGGTTGAGAGCTTGCAGGCTTCGTAGACGACCCATTTCTTGAGGAATTTCACCATGGAAGTTGTTGTTTGTGAGGCTGAGTCCAGTAAGATGAGTAAGATTTCCAATAGAAGGTGGTAGAGAGCCTGCCAATTTATAAGAATTCAAGTCCAAAATCAAGACTCTTTTGGTGGAAGGGTTGCACGTAACGCCAACCCAACTGCAGAAATGAATTGAATCATTCCATGAGCTCATGACATGGAGAGGATCTTGAGTGATTCTTTTCTTCAAGTCCAGCAGCGCCACGCGATCAGTTTCATTTTAGCACTGGCACTGGGTAGAGTTGCAGATTCCAAAGGTGTGCTCATACATAAAATGATGAACCCATGAAGGAATGTAAACAAAATCAGCCTACTATGAGTAGTGCGTGAGTGCTCCATCCCTTTTTGTAAAAACAGAGCAAATCAGAAACCAAGTGTTTTTTTTTGGTGTGGATCGAAAGTGTTTTGTTTACATGAATGCATGCATAAGAAAGAAGAAACCCTACGATACTCATATATAGAAAAGAAAGTTGAAGACCAAATTAGAGTCAAGCTCCCACCGTGTATAGAAAGCAACAGATACTGTGACTCGCTTGACTAAGAAATTTTCTTTTGAGTAATTTCTTGGAGTAAACTTGTTGGCTTATTGTGAATATTGTCGTTTGTAAGTTTCTAATAAGATTTCTCAAAGCAGCTTGCATAATATTCCAGTTGTGCTCAATGCTCACGACGATTTTCCAGGGTTATTCTAGTCATTCAACAAGGTGGGGACTCCAACAATAACCGCTAAACATAGATGTTTCTGTTTGTCCTGAAACAGACAAACAAGGACATAAATGGAATAAAACATTCTTCCCTTGTTGTGCTACATCATTACAAAATGCAGACTTTGATATACATAATATCCTTATTAAAATAATTTCTTGCTTATAGATTGAGATTAGATAACAAACCTAGCCCTATCTTGTATATTGCTAGCTTCTTCTTCTTACATTCAGATATGAGTCTCTAATTCCACTCATTTTGTTGACAACAACATTCATAGGCATTCGCTCTGCTGGGGATATTGCAGAGCATGACAGCCCTATCTGCATCACTGAAACCAAACATTCCTCCAATCTTCTTCCTTCGACTGTGCTGCAATCCTGATATCTTGTAATTTGTCTTTCTTGTATGTCATTAACATATCTATCATCGTCAGAACCCGAGTCATCTCTTTCTATGATCAATGAAGGGTCAACTATGTCCATAGCACGGTCAGGCATTGCCATCGCTGTGAATTGGTGAATGGTTAGATCATCTTTGAGCGTGTCACTGGTAGGTCTTTTTCCTGTGAACATTTCTAGTAACAGTATTCCATAGCTATAAACATCTCCGATGATGGAAACTTTCCCTCCCATGCCATACTCTGCCATTCAATACATACATTAGCATGTACAGTCAAATGAAATTTAGAGTTTAGCTTCAGATATTATTTAGAGTTTACTCATACTTCATTCCCAAGGAAAAGATGCAGTTATCATTCTTTTGATCAATATAGACATAATTGGGCTTAGTAATCAGTTTTTAGGAATAGAAAATTTGAGAATGACAGAAATTCATACCTGGAGGAATGTAGCCTATCGAACCCTTTAGACCAGCTGACATTGTTCGACTTCGGGGGGAATTATTTGGTCTTTCCAAGAGGAAGCTTGCTAAACCAAAGTCACCAACATGGGCTACCATATCTTCATCAAGAAGAACATTGCTTGGTTTTAGATCACAATGAACAATGAAGGTTTCACAACGATAGTGCAGATAATCTAATGCAGACGCAACGTCAATGGCAATATTGAGTCTTTGGATAAGGGTCAATCTGTTGCTTTGAGATTGCCCATCATCTCTTGGATGCAGCCATGTGTCTAGACTTCCATTTTTCATGAACTCAATAACTAGACTTTTGAAGTCATTACCCTGATAATCAATGGTTGAGCAAGCAGTTATGATCTTGAGCAGATTACGATGTCTTATACTTTTTAAAGCTTTGCATTCATCAATGAAACTCTTGGAAGCTCCTTCTTGTTGAAGGTTTAATACCTTAACAGCAACTACCGTTCCATCACTAGGGAATACCCCTTTGTAAACAGAACCAAAACTGCCCGAACCAATCAGATTGTCCACAGAGAACCCGTCAGTTGATTCAACCAGTTCTGAGTAAGAGACACCTAATCTCCAATCCTTATGAGAACGTGAAGTCAAAGGTCTACCTCTTGACTTTTTCATCATTGAACAAGCAACAATGAAGCATGATAGAGCAACTATGAACACAAGTGCACATGCTATGGGGATACCTACTTTTGGGACAAGTACTCCTCGAGATGAATGGGGCTTTTTGTTGGAGCATGCATGCAGATGTAATTCTGGTATGCCACCGCAGAGCTTGTCATTTCTAAGAACTGAGAAACTACTTGCATTTGAAAAGATCCCATCTTTAGGAATTTCACCCACAAAATCATTATGAGAAAGATTGAGATACTTAAGAAAACTAAGCTTGCCTAGAAATTCAGGAATCTGCCCAGATAAATTATTGCGTGAAAGATCTATTTCTTCCAGGCTTGATAAATTTTGAAGAGATTGAGGAATTGTTCCTTGAAATTCATTACCTTCCAAATGCAGACGCTCCAACATTATACAACTGCCAAGGGTCGTAGGGATTTCACCAAATAACTTGTTTCCGGATACATCTAGCTCTGCCAGATGTATTAAATCACTCACTTCAGATGGTAGTGGACCAGTCAATGAATTGTTAGAAATGGTTAAAGAAATTGAAAGGGATGAAAGCCCAATAAGCTCTTTAGGTATGGTACCAGTTAGGTTGTTACTAGAAAGATTGAGTATCAGTAGATTTTGGCAATTTCCAAGACTTGGAGGTATACTTCCTTCAAACCTATTATCCTCCATGAAGAGCTGTGTCAATGAAGTCAAGTTACCTAGGGAGGAAGGGATTGGCCCAGAAAAGTTGTTAAGGTTCAAAACCAGTCTCCCTAATTTCTGAAGCTTCCCAATTCCATCAGGGACACTCCCACCCAAATAGTTATGTTCCACTTCCAGAGTGTTCAAGCTTAAGAGATTTCCAATGTCGGTAGGGATGCTTCCATGTATCAGATTGCCCCCTATAGTAAGATGTTTTAGTTGGGTTGAAAGGTTGGCTATAGATCCTGGCAGCTCACCTCCAAATTGGTTTCTGGAAAGACCCAACACCTCCAGACTAGTACAATTAGCCAAGAAGCCAAGGAAATTCAGGTCACCAGTTTTCCCACTTCCCAATCTATTACGACGAAAGTTTAGCCTAACTAAGCTTTGCAAACTTCCAAGACTTTCAGCAGGAATAGTTCCAGTGAGACCATTTCGACCAAAATCAATACTCCGAAGTCTAGAAGCATTTGACAACAAGGCAGGAATATTTCCTGTGAATCTGTTGCGACCACCAAGAAATAGTTCAAGATTGGGAAGAGTAATACCAACATTTGGTGGTAGCTCTCCCTGCAGCTGGTTTCCAACAACACTGAAAACGTATATGGAAGATATGTTATAGATTGAAGCAGGAACCTTACCAGACAAGTGATTCCCTGCAAGTACGAATCTCCCCAAGGCTGTTAGGCGACCGAGCTCATTTGGTATGCTTCCTTGAAAATTGTTGTGAGAAAGACGAAGACTATTCAAAGATGAAAAGTTTCCTATCCAACCTGGGATTGTTCCAATGAGATTGTTAAGAGAAAGCCATAGATGATTTAAATTCAACAATGAACTCAGTTGGTCCGGAATAACCCCAATAATCTCATTGGAAAAAAGATCCAGCACACTTAGTTGTGTACAGTGAGATATATTAGTTGGAATATTCCCGCTAAAAGAATTGTAAGACAGATTGAGATATTGCAGGCTCCGTAGACGACCCATTTCTTGAGGAATTTGGCCATGAAAGTTGTTGATTCCCAGGTTGATCCAGGTCAAATGAGTAAGATTTCCTATAGAAGGTGGTATGGAGCCTCCCAAGTTCTGAGCTTCCAGGTTCAAACTCAAGACTCTTGTTGTGGAATGGTTACACGTAACGCCAATCCAGCTGCAGAATTTGATGGAATCATTCCAGGAGCTCATGACATGGAGAGGATCACTAGTGATTCCTTTCTTGAAATCTAGCAGAGCCAGACGATCAGTTTCGTTTCTGAAACTAGTGCTGGGCAGTGTTGCAGACTCCAGAGCAGTGCTCATGCACAAAATTAGAATGAACCCATGACAGAATTTAAATAAAATCAGCCTACCATGAGAACTACGTGAATGCTCCATCTGTTTCTTAACAGAGAGCAGCTCAAAAACCAAGTATCATTCATTTACCCCGAATGCATTTAAAAGAAGAAATCTTATCACATTGAAAATATCTTGATTGCAATTTGCATGGTCACCAAGAATTTGAGACAGTAACACTGCAACGGTGGGACCAAAAAAGTCAGCTCCCGCCTTGTTTGGCAAGGAGTTTTGAGGTTCAAATTAATCCGTAGCTCCCGCTGGGACCAGACGCATTTCAAACAATGATGAAGTCGACACTGGAAGACAAACCGACCAGAAACTAAAGTCAACATTCAAACCCAAGACGCGTTTAAACTGAAGAAGGTCAAAAACGAAAGCGACCTCCTGATCCTACACTTCATGAAGAAGCTCAATCCTAGGCAATCCTAGGCAAATGTGAAGAAGTTGAGGGAAAAAAATAGTCCTCAACGTTTTGGAATTACATGCAAACTAAGCCTACAATGCATATGAATGGGAGAAATTGATTACAGTGATTTAGAACAATAATGTAATTTACTTATTTAATTTCATTAAGGACATTAGATTTTTAAATAGTTGGGAAGCAATTCATGCTTATACTTACATACCTCTGGGTGCCTTTGCCTCATCTAGATATATGCTTCTTTGTCTGGGTTACTAGCTCTTGTCTTTTCTCTCTTCTGCGTCGTGCTCGGTATCTGGTTTTTCGCTTTCTATTTCCGCTGGCCTGTGTTTGTTTGTGGTGGTCACTGGTCGGTGGTTTGCTCGCCGACATTGCTCTGTATTTCATGAGTTTGGGTTTTCTTTGAATGAACTACTTAGACCCAAAAGAAAAAACCAGTGTAGTTTCAGGCCCTACCACTATGGTCCAAATTGTGAATATCACTTTGATGATTGATTGATTAGCCCTGTTGCTGTAGGCTTCTTGGGCTAACTAAAATCTAATGGGCCAACAAAGCTTTATTGTACAAGCCTTCATTTTATTTTATTTTCTAGGATCTTTCTTATTGAGATGAGCGATAATATACTACACAAATACTGAAACTCAAACCCAAGAGCTTTCCTGAGGAGTAATTGCTCCAAACCACTACAGTAGTGGGTCATTTCCTAACAAGCCTTCATCTTTGTCATGGTGATTGTTACCCAAGTAGACTAGCAGCTGCAGGTTTAGGTATACTCTGTTATACTGGTTTGGAAAGCGCACATCACAAAAATGCATGCACAGACGCACATGCCAATTTGATTTTGACAGACTTCAAAGAACTAAATTGCACCAGCCAGGTAGAGAGCCTGTAGTCTTAAGCAGAAGTTACAGCTTTGATTCAATTGGTGCTCCATGTCCATTAAATTAAAAAAAAAAAAAAAAAAAAAAAAAAAAAAAAACCAGCGAAATTAGCCATTAATTATTTGATGAGACCAATGACTTGCCATGACATAAAGAAAGAACAATATTGCAGTAGAGAGCACAAAACAATATGATTCAAATCTGCATTTGTTCCAGAATAGATCCAGTCCATACTGCATACCAAAATATGCTACAAATTATAGACACACAATCATATCATAATTCTTCACCACCACCTTCATAGTTATGTGCAATTTGTGTATACACACACACTGTCAACATAACAACTACAACTGGTCCACTGTCACATTGCTATGTATAAAGCTCAAACTGAGTCATCAATGCAAATGATCACATACGAATTATACAAAAATGCTCATGTACAAACTACTGCAGTTCATCATGAACAGCTTCCCTGTTATGAACATTCGCACCGATTTCAACCCCTAATGAGATGTGGAACAACTTTGAACCAAGTACAGCATCAATGGCCACACATGATGACTGGAAAAATAAAACAGTACTAAGGCTTTTCTGACAAGAAATTGACTGTATAACAACATGACTATAACTGGCAGGGCTACTGAAACAGGAGGACTTAGGGCTGACAATTTTAAAGTTGCATAGAGGAAATAAATGGGGGGAAATTGCATCCTATGTCATTTATGAAGGTATAATATGCAGCAGAGCTAGAACACAAGAAGTGAAAACCAGAACTAGTCGTGTAGGATTAATCTTAGTTAAAGAAACAAAATTATCCAAAGGATTTTCCATCACTAAAGATTATTGCAACCATTTCTATTTTCTACTAAAGTACCATTGATAAAGACGAAATCATACAATTAGACGTACTGGAATAATCAAAGCATGCTCTTGAGTTATAAACACATTAACCAACACGGGAAGTTAATCATTTCAGCATTGGCAGATAAAAAACAATTTCATTCCATCTATAACTTCAAATACTGAGACAAAAATGGTTCAACAAGATATTAAATTTCACTGATCGATTTGCAGAACGCTCTACAGTCTGAAGAATACTTTTACTACTGCTACTACTACTAAAGTTACCTACAGTTTGCATGAACACTACCAGCCAAAGCATTAACCAAAAACAGGCAGAGAGAAACCAAGAGTCAACCACCACATTACAGAAGCCAGCCACCACAATGAGCTAAAATTCAGCAACATAATTCCCTCAGATGTTCGACTCTGCTCTCTCCCTCTCCACCTTCTGCCCGAAAAGCTTCGTGGCAAACATATTGTCATCGAAATACTCTTTATAAGGGTGGTTCTTGGGAACAAGCTTCCTGAACTTTTCAAACTGTTTCTCAGCCTCTTTATTCTTCCTCAACATAGTATAAATGATTCCTTGACACAGATAAGGCCTGAAATCTCTCGGTTCTTCCCTCACAAGCTCTTGATAAAGCTTCAAAGCTTCCGAATAATTTGACTCCATCACGCGAATTTGGGCAATTAACAGCTTAAAATCCCTCACATCCGACTTGTTCCCCTGCTTCTTGCAACCCTCCATTGCCTTTTCCACTCTCGTCACCACATTCTCCAATTTCTCGGGCGATTGCGAAGCAGACATCACAAGACCATGATAGGCCTCAACTCGCAAAGGGTCTTTGGCCAAAATCTCCTCGAACTCACTGGTAGCGAGTTCAAACTCACCCATGTAGCTATGAACATTGGCTTTCAGCAATTGCCACTCATAGTCTTCAGGTTCGAGCTCGATCAAGCGGTCCAGCACCTGAATCGCTTCGGTCAATTTGTGGGCTTTGATCCTAACCTCCATCAATGACCTCAGCGCTTCGACATCGTCGGGGTTTTGGCTCAATTGCTCTTCAATGAGCCTCTCTTTCTCTTCGACCGTAACGCTGTCAGTGGACGAAACTTCTTCTCTGGGCTCCACAGTAGAAGGCGAGACTGTGGGGGAGGCCACGGCGGTTCTGTTGTGGAAGCGCATGAAAAGAATGCGGCTGCGGCTATGGCGGCGCAAGTGGTCTTGAGGAGAGGGGAGGCGAGAGGGGCTAGGGTTTGGAAGGGTGAGGGTTTAGGGTTTCGGGGGTTTTGGTGAGGTGGGTCGGCGGAGGATGGTGAAGAGGATGAGGACGAGGCTCTGATAGTGAGGGAAGTGAAGTTGAAAGGCGGTGATGAGCGTGGGGGTCTGAAGGAAGAAATTGGTTTTGGGAATGACGGACGGTGGGGATTGAGTGAGAGGTTAAAGGGTTGGTGACGGTGTTGAAGTTTAGCGAGAGACTCCATGGATTGAGAGAAGTAGGGTTTTCTTAAACCCTGGAATGAAGGTGGGGATAGTGGCAGAGAAGGAGGAGGAGGAAGAAGTAGAAGAGAAAGAGAACTAAGAATCAGGAGAAGTTCAAAACCCTGAGAATATGCCGTTTACGCACGTCGGTCCAAAACTACAACATTATTGATCCAGTTAGGCTCCAAACGACGTCGTATATGTCATCAAATTGGACGTAAGCTTTCAGGCCTTGGGCTGAAAATTTCGAACTCCATATTGGTCCTCTTGTTTTTGCTGTTTCCTCAAGTGGGCTTCATCTAGAGTTGGGCTTATATCTAATTTATCCAGTCCAGCAGTTTCCTTAGAAACTGCCATACGCTTTGTGCCAAGTCCTATTGGTGAGTAGTTCTGCTTGTATTTACGCGCCTCGTTTTGTGGTCCGGTCTGAACGGGATTATTTCAATTAAATTGGACTAAATATAATAACGGTTGCTTTTGGTGAATTTATATGAGATTAGACTCATTAATTGAACAACAATTCAATATATTATGTTATACAGTCTAACATATTTCAAACCGATTCACCAAATGAGGCTCCGCATTTTAAAAAAAAACAAAGAGAAAAGATGTGATTATAGGTTTTCTTAAATTATTTTTTTCTATGGTTGATTAATAGGCTTAGTTTATACTTAAAGAATATTTTTACCAAACCAAATGTTTGATTAAATTGAAGAGATATTTAGTCATATACTCATTCTTAGCACTAATAATATAGATAAATCCTACACCATTTAATTTCTATAAACAAACCCAAAAAAATGACAGCTTGCTCTATTGAATTTAATTTTAATTATTAAATTACTTTAATGCCTTACTGAATGTTTTGGGTTTTTTTTATGAGGTTTTAAGGTTGGGCTTATTTTAAGAAAGTGATAGCAATTTTGTAATTTCTAGAAAGTTCGAAACCTCTTTTTTATATTGTAAATGTGTTTTGGATGTGTTTCACTCAACTTTATAAAATATCATATGCAAACATATACTCCAACCCAACAACCATTTCATTATTCATACAAATGAAAAACCCAGTAATTTACCAGAATTATTACTCGGATTATGGTTCAAGGCACATTTTTCCCTCTATAATAAAGTAGCACCTACACATAGGGGCCCTAGAGCAAAACTCAATATAATAAAATATTGATTAAAGAAAATGACTCAAGATTTTTTACTCGCCGAAGGAAGTGGATGAGAAGATGAGATACCAAAGTGGAGCCCAACCTTTTTTTGGTTTTGAGAAAACGAAGTTCATTGCAAAACTTGGAGACATTACAATCTCGGAGCAGCAGATCTTGAATTAAAACAGGTCAGTCTGCTCACTGTTTCTGGATACCATAAATTTTTTAAAAACTATTTAAAAGTCATAGTTGAATACCTTCGCACTGTTAAACTCATTGAGAGTCATTAAAGCGTTTGAAAGTCGGGTGTATTTTAAAACGTTAACGCCACTCTCTCTCTCCTTCTCCACCGAACAAAAACGAAAGGAACCAACAGCGACAAATCCAAATGACCCACACACAACAAAATTATTGGGAGAAAATAGACCAAACATAACATATATAAAAATTACACACACGAGGGAATTAATTATGAAGATAAATAAATAAAGGCTGGACAAGTAAATTTACAAAACAGTCCAAAGCATCTGCAATGCGAGACACACACACACACAAGGGAGGCCAATGGAAGCACAGCGGGCTCTGCCACGTGTACGCCACCCCACCCCAGCCACCCAACGAACCAAACAGGTTTACAAATCACACTTCCCAACTACTATTGATGCCTGCTGGACGACGTCGTATCTGCCGTCCGTATTACATGTCGTTATTTGCTGTCGTTTTTTTGGCGGCCTTTACGCCGATGTTTACATAGAGAGGAATAGGTATTGGCTAGCTAGCAATGAAAGCCAAAAGGGCCATCTTATCGGTCGTTGTCTTGAATGAAAAATCAAACTACTTCTCATCATCATCGTCGTCGGAGCTGTCTTTTTGCGAAAGATCGAAAAGCATCTTCTCGATCCTTTGCTTTGTGATCTCCATCTCAAAGGCTCTAGCTTCCCTGTTCTTTGTGTATGCCTCAAAGAACTCCTTGTTCTCCTTCTCCAACTCCTTCCACACTACAATTATACAGACTATTTAATAATAATACCATGCAAACACTTAATTCTAAGTGTAACATGCATGTTATGTGTACATAAAGACTTGTAACAGTAAACTCTGCACCTAAGGTCTTGTGTTCGAGTCTCTTATATGGCTTCTCGAGAAAATAAAAAGGCGTATATACATAGAGAGGGAATTAATTTGGGTTGGACTGACCTGTGGAGGTAATGATGGGTTTGATGTTTGCATGCTTAGAGAGGGCTTCCATGCACTCTTCTTTGCTCATGTTGAATATGATGCACTCCTCGATTAAATGGTGCACCTGATTAATCATTATAATCATGCATGTCACCGCCATTGATCTTCATAAAAAAAACTCTCAAAACAGAAAAACTACTGGATCATATATATTAAGTCAAATATATAAGATGGAGATGATGATGATCAAAAAAAGTAGAAGAATATTCATAAAAAATTGTAGCTTATACTGCTATATAGAAGTAAAACAAGCTTACCATGTGGATGTATGAAGCAGAGGAATCGCCCATCTTCTTGTAGTACTTTTCTTCGTTAATATATATATCCCAATATATAACACCTAATATTTTCCTCTAATAACGCAGAAAGAGGCTGGCGAGCTCAACTTGTTGCAGAAAGCCAAAGAAAACGCAGCTGCTAGATCATAAGAAAACGCAGAGTTGGGATCAAGAAAGCCAAAGATGTTGAAACGACTGATGGGTTAAGGTTAAAATAAGAGAAAATCATGAGGAGGGATGGACGATAAATTATATATTTATATGAAAAGTAAAATCAATAAATAAAAAAAGTGCAGGTGAGTCTTGTGATGTCATAAGGTGGTGTGGGGGCTCCAATGCCCACGTGGGAGAAGCACGATGATTGGTGGAGAGGGGATGAGAGGAGATTCTACAAGCAGCCTTAGTTTGTCTCTTATATGTGGGCACTGAGCCAGTGTCCACGTGACACGCGGGGCCCCTCACCTTCCTACACATGTTAGCTAGTAGGTTTTCATATGCCCAAGTTCTGACTAGGTTTATCAAACCCATGCATCATTGCGCCGCCCACACTCCTGCTGCAGTACAAACTTCGGCCCAGTTTCTACCCACCTAGCCCATAATTTCAATATCCGCTCTTCAAAGTTCTAACCTGGCAACTTTATAATAGAAGAGGGCTCAAGTTCGAATTACTATTATCGAATAAAGGTCGAACTCGATGCTAATGTATGTATTGACATATATCATAATGGTGGATTTGACTATTGATCATGTTAATTTACAATATAATAAGAAAATATTTGACGGGATCAATGATTCATAATCATAATTCTAACATAAGTAGTTTACATCAAAACGACTCTTGTATTATAATTGTATAGAAATACTGTTAGAATGTATAGTCCAGAGCAGAAGAGCTTTGTGAATGTATATGTACTACTACTAGTACTGAGGGTAGGTGCCTTTTGTATTCTTTTGCCTTTTATTTGTAGTTTTGTAATTCAGCCAGTTTTGTTGGCATGTGAGCTTTTCTGGTGTATGGGATGGGAGGCATGTGATTTGTACAAATTTATTCACTCAGGGAAGAAAAGATATATGATATGGCCCATATGGACTTGCTATTTAATAATTAATCATGACCTAAAAGTATATAAAAATTCACTTTGTGTTAAAACTGTTGCTTTCACCTTTCACTGACCTATAATTGTGGTTCCATTTACGTGTGTTAAGACAGAGACTTCCAACTAGATAATGTTTGCCCATCCAGAGTACCAAAATTGGCTTCTTGACCAATCGCCTAAGGCTAGCTAGATATTTTGTTATATATCTTAGTTTTTCACTAGATGATAGAAGGATGGAATTTTCAGAATTAACCACTGCCATGTTGCATCTTTGTTAGAGAATTCACAGTGGGAAGTGTAAATTCGGGGATGTAAAGTCACTTTTACATCTCATTTATATCTTCAGAAGATGTAAATGTATTTTTTCATCAAGTGGGTGAATGTATATCTGGAGAGATAAACAACAATATAATTCATTATACACACGGTATATAATTCTCTTTTGCTTTATAGTAAATCAAAAGATACCCTCTAAGAAAAGAGAGGATATCTGTTCTGGAAAAAGAATTTAGCATATTAATGATCGTCCTTGTCCCAAAAGCATTGATAGAGCTTGCGTAAAAGATCCTCCTTTGATCCTGACACTGTAAATGATCATCCTTAGTCGCTTAAGACGTACTCTTTATCGAGAGATCTCGAAAATAAGCTTATTTAAAGATTACATCGTGAACGCATGCATGTCAAATGGCTTTGTCACATGATTGCATTGTGGACTTTAATCTTCGACGCCAGCTTAGAATTTCGGCAAAACCAAATTTATAGATGGTATAATATTGGTTAGTGCAATTACAGCTCGAGATGATAATGACATGGTCTGCTCTGCTGTTGGTTCACGGTTTGTTACTTTCAACAACTCTGTTGGTACCTTCAATATCAAATGCTCATCTGCTCTAAAGTCTAAACAAACAAAGATTAGCAATAGTTTAATCAGCATGCATTTTCTTAAACTTCAAACAACTGGCCAAATTAAAATAAAACAGGAGGCCTTAAGTGGAGTTTTAGAAGTAAACCCCCTTGAAATTAAACCTTAAACTAGAAATTTTACATCAGTAAATTCAGTCCCTGACCGCTCACCCCATCTCAGTGGTTTTCACCGTAGGTTATTTTAAGGCTAACCAGAGAATCCCACTTTGCCTATTGATGCATTTGAAGTTGGGTAAGAAAAGAATGGCATATGGAGCAAAACACACAAACAACATTTTAAAGTCATGATTTTTATGGTCACGCATTTTCTCAGTGAAAATCATAAAAACAAACCAGAAGCTATGTCTATAGAAGAAGACAACCAGTATAAGACATTGATGGGCAGGTAAAGGGAGGAAGGGATGGGGTAAACTTTACTATACAGAAACAATCGTACAATCAAAAACCCACATCTGTATTTCGACTCGTTTCACTCATTTTATATCTTTCAGGCTTTCTAATAGCTCATGCGCATGACTGATAGATGAGGATCGTTGATTTACAAGGGGTAGCCACCCCTTCTCATATCTCTAGTGAAAAAGGGATGTCTTAGTGCTTCCCTTGCCTTGAGACGCTCCGCTGGCTCGTATCTTAGGAGCCCTTGCAAGAGTTCAATCAAATCTCCAGCAGAATGGTCCACATGCTGCATTATTAGGTTCTGCAATGGATGGTTCAAAATAACAATAAAGTAAGTCTGCAAGCACTTAATTAAAAATCCAAGGACAGATTAAACTTGTATTTTATATGCGTGGGTGTTACATTATTGGCATAAATAAGATAGCAACTTTTTAAGTTCTGAATCATTACCGGTAACCGGGGCAATTTGCAAACTGCCCTCATGCTTTCTCTAGAAGTTGCTCCATCAGGCCAATCCAGTCGTGCTCCCCTTCTAAAATATTTGTCAGCACGACGACTGCAAAAATTGGGCACAATATAAGAGCTCCATGCCAAATACAAAACGAGGGGATTATGCACAGTAAGAGTCTTACTCAGCTCTGAGCACCATATGCTGTGGTAGTGGCCCCAAAACCCTCTCCATCATGGCAAGATGCTCCAAGTTCTCATGCGTTTGAAATAGGGCCTCACCCTGTTGAAAAACAATACAAATGTCAACAAAATATTCTGCCCCCCCTACGAAACACAAATTCAATTGTAACTTTAAGTGAAAATGACTCAATTTTAGATGATCGGCCATATGAACTCAATGGTACTTACAGAGCAAAGTTCAACAAGTATGCAACCCACACTCCAGATATCACAAGGATAGTTCCATCCAAGACCTGCATATAACGTCAGATGACTGTTATCTACAAATGCAAACCCAAGATGTCACTTGAGTAGCCTAGAATTGTATTTACCCAAAATAACCTCCGGTGCACGATAATGGCGTGTTGACACCACATAGCTGTGATCCTGATGTTCAAATGTTGTACTCCCAAAATCAATGAGCTTAATGGCACTTGACTTGGGCAGATTCTTGAAATAGGAACCCTCTTTAGTCGACCGTGAGAGAAACTTGATTCCAGTTAAGAAAAGAAAAGGGTGAAGTGTCAGGACTTTGATCTTTACTAATTCCCCCAATTTAAAAAACACAAGATCTGAAGATGGCTTGGGTAAAAAAATGAAACCTAAACTGATGCTGTACCAAATTGCTGGACATCTTAGACTAAGTCCAAAAATTAAGAACTGCTGAATGAAACAGAAAATGCTGTTGCAACCCCGTGCATGATGATACATTAGACTATAATGAGGCACAAAATAATCAAACACATGACAAAACCCACAACATTGTTGAATCAGATAACCCATATGCCCTCTCCAAGGTCTGCTTGCGTGTGAATGCACAAACACAGAAGATGCTAAGAGACCAAAAGCATGATTTAGTAAACAATACCTTATAGTCTGGCACTTTGATGTAGTCAGATGAAACAAGCAGAATATTTTCTGGCTTCAGATCAGTATGTATAAGGCGTAAATCATGCATAACTGCAAAAATAAACCAGCAGACAAGTCAAAAAGCAGGGAATTAGCTGCCATTATTATCATCAACTACATGCTATACATACAATAATTATGTTCTCCTTATAATATTGGAGATGGAAATAAATATCATGCCCAGAAGGCCAGAATTCAGCTTTACACTTAAAACAGTTTGAGCATCAAGTTGAATGAATTTAGATAAAATGGTGCAAGAATTGTCCACACACATGCTACAGACTCCAAAAGTTGTCTGCCAAGCTCCCGAACAAGATCAATGGGAAATGAACGGTAGCTGTTTTTGCGAAGAAAATCGTATAAGCTAGGTCCAAGCTTCTCAAATACCTGTTGAAACCATTTAAATCCATCCGCAAGTTTTTTTAACTCACAGAAAATTCAGGCATGAAGGAACATATATTGCCCCTCTAAACTAATTAAATCAGAAGTACCAATAAATACTTACAATACAAATATGATTACGATAGTCAAACCAATTCCGTATTTGCACACAACTGCAAAGAATAAAACCACTTATACTAACATCGCAAACTTCTACCACCAAAGAGAGAGACAGAAAATAAAGTATCCTTACCGAGTGCCACCAATATCATGCCTTCCAAGCCTTTGTAGGACATCAATTTCAATCATCGCAGCTTCACGATACTTATGTATGGAGCGGACAATTTTGATTGCCACAACTTCTTTCTTTTCATTGTCAATACACTCTAACACTTGCCCAAAAGTTCCTAGAAAAGTCATAGCCAAGATATTAAAATAATTCTGAGGAATTGAAAAGAGATATGTACCCCTTCTAGCTGAAGGTGAACTTTACTCCCAAGAAAGCAAGAATACCAACCCTCTCCCATTTTGCTGAGAATTCTGTCTGCAAGTATGATAAGCAAAAGGTATGAATTAGTGAACAAATAATAAGCTTAAATGATAACAAAAAGTCAATCCATAAATAATGAACAGAAAACTTGAATACCAAGATCTAATGCATGATTCCATATAAGGGAGCCCGAACATAAATAACCACACATAGTTGCAAATATGAATGAATTAAGAGCCAAACAATCATGTACATCCAAATCTGAACATGACGTACCTACTTACATAGAACAAGAGCTGTAATGGTTAGAGAAACTTACATCGAGGGGTTAAATTTTCTCCGATGCCGAACACGTAATGACCATCTTTATCATCAGGTCTCCACGGAGGGGAAGCATTGCGTGGCAACCCCCCATAAAACATAGACGTATAGGTGTAATTGGGGATTGGCCCATTCCCAAACTCCTGCCCGCAGTAAATTGCTGGGAACAGCTGCATAACATATAAAGCATAATCAAATTACACATACATGTATATAATTCAAGAATAACGTTTTATTATGTCCCTAAAGAGCAAAAATTCAAGAAATCGTCAAGATTGAGACTTTCTACAAATCTATTCTGAATGAAACTTATGAATAAAAAAAAGCTGTTAACCATGAGAATTCAAAAAATTACAGAAAAAACAAAAAGTTCGGGAAATTGACCAGGGATTGTAAATAGATAACAAAATTTGGAAAATTAAGATAGACGGACCTCAGGAGGAGGAAGAGGAGGGGGCATGTCCCATGCTAATCGAGGCCTCTTTCTGGGCCGCTTATCCATATTCTTGTGAGGAAACTCCATTATCCGCTGTGTCTCCATTCTTCCCCTAATTTTTGTTTTGCTCCTTATACAAAAAGGATTCTCTCCAGAGCGATCGAAAATTATAACGAATCAGAAATTCAGTACCTAAATAGGGTTCTGAGAATCGAAAGGATGAAAATTGAGATAGGATTTTGGGGGAAATTGATAAGGGTAAGCTCTGAAACCCTAATCTTGGATCTGAAGCTCTAAACCATGGGACGGAATTAACCCTGGTTAACTGGGAATGATTCGATGACGGTGCGATTTCTAACTATGGGTTGGAAACGTGGGTCCCACAGATTTTTGATTGCTGAGGCGCGTGCGGGGACCGCCCGACCGGTTATATGTTATGTAGTGTCTCGTGCGCGCCTTCCCACTGCGGTCATCTGACACGTGTTGATTTGCGGACCCGTGAGAGGCCACGCGCATGTTCGCTTTTTATTATTTTTGGGCTTTTTTGATTCAACCCTTGAAAATTGGCCCAATGTTTTGTGCTTTTGATTTTATTTTATTTTTTTGAGCGGATTGCTCTTTTGAATTTTGATCTTTCAATTTTCCCTTTGTTTTCTTTTTTAAATTTGCAAAAGGGTAAACAAAATATCAAACCAGTAAAATGAGATATGGATTTTAATCAGTCATCTGGATATTGAATGCAAGGCAATGTCAAAATAAATCTTTCTGCTATTAAATAATTTCGATGTTCTAAGATTTTGAGATGAAAATTACTAGTTGAAAGTATTTGTAATCAATATACATGGGTTTTGCGAAGTTGGCTAGACTCAACTCTACATCCGAGTTCATATCCCCTTCTCCGTTGTTTAGATTAGTATTATCGGTTGTATCCAGAAAAAAAGCCTCCGTAATAAACTCTTTTGATATATCATTTGAATTCATTAATTTTTCTTTTAACATATCATGCCCACTAATTTGAAAAACATGTTAACATCTATAATTTCTCCATATTCTGGCTGATGATGCATTTAGCCAGGGGAACATAATTAGCTGATGTAAAAGCACAACAAACCGACCAAAAATCAAAACTTGAACCAATCTGCTGCTTCATTGCAAGAACTTAGAGGCCTTGTAATTGATTGGGCATCTCCTTTCCCAGATTATTTTTTCCAAGTTCATTCTACTTTCCTCTAAACAGCCAGAAGAGCACTTTTGGCCTCGCCCCATTTAGCTTCATTGGGGCCTTGAAAGTTGGTCTCCCTCATCTCAAGGTTGGCTCCAGCTACATATAGAGATCATCAATGGCATTTTCTCCTTGTCTGGATTTATTCTCCCTTAAAATCTCTATACAGAATTTTCAATACAGATAACATTTCACTCACTTGGTGATGGTTTTTATCCCCAGAAACAAATACATGAACTCTGTTCCTGATTTCTATCCAACTGCAGCCTGGAACCCTCTTCAACCCTTTTTCTTTCATTTCTCTCCTTATTGTTGCCACACTCTGCCATCTGCCAGCTGCAGAATGTGCATTGGACAACATTACATATGATGACACATCTTCAGGATCCAAAGCCAATATTTTCCTAGCTGCAAACTCCCCTAATTCCATATTTGAGTGGATTTGGCAGCCACCAAGCAATGCCTTCCAAAACCCAATACCTGGTTCAAAAGGCAAATTGCTGATAAACTCCTCAGCTTCTCTGAAACACCCGGACCGGGAGAGTAAATCAACCATACAAGCATAGTGCTCAGGCTTCAGAATGCTGGGGTCTTCAATTCTTGCCTGATTGAAATAACAATAACCCTGGTCAACAAGACCAGCATGGTTGCAAGCCCACAATAAGCCAAGACGTGTAACACTATTGGGTTTGCAACTTGACAACCTCATCCTTTCAAAAAAGCTTATTGCTTCTTCTCCTTTACCATTTTGAGCATAGCCACATATCACAGCATTCCAAGAAACAATGTTTCTTTCTTCAATTTTGTTGAAAACCAAGAGACTATCTTCCATGCTACCACATTTTGCATAAAAGCTTATTAGTGAATTGCCAATAAAGACATTAAGCTTACCCAAGAATTTGACAGCACAGGCATGAAAACTTCTGCCCATTCCTAGTGCTGCTATATTGGCAGCTGCAATGATAGCACAAGGAAAAGTAGAATGGTTAGGTACCAACCCATTTCTAAGCATATCAATGAATAGATTGACGGCCTCTTCATTGTGGCCTGATTGGCTATACCCTCCAATCATTGCATTCCATGAAACAACATTCCTCTCTGGCATCACTCGGAAAAGCTTCAAAGCTTCTTCAAGCTTCTCCTTTTTCAGGTATGCATATATCAATGTGGTGTAAGAAACTACATTGGGCTTGTGGGTATCTTCAAAAGCTCTTTTAGCATGCTGGGTAATGCCCAACTTGGCATAAAGATCTAACATTGCACTTCCCACAAAGACATTCGAATGCAAACCTATCTTTGTTGCAAATGCATGAAGTTGCTTGCCTATGTTTAGGTCTCCAAGTGCAGTTGACGAGTGAATGACAGTGCCAAATGTAAATTCGTTGGGTCTGATATTCGAAAGAAGCATTCTTGAAAAGAGATAAATAGCTTCTTCATGATGGTGCTGCCGAGCAAAGCTGCCTATTATTGACGTGGCCGATACCACGCTCAAGTCAGGCGTTTCGTCGAACAACTGGCGTGCATGGAAGAATGCATCCGAGGTACCGAGTTGAAGGCCATGGGCATGAGCTTTCTGGGTTTCAGTAAGAAGGGCACCAGCCGAAGTGTGAGCTTTCCTTTGTAGGAAAAGAAAGAGAGGAGGCCTACATAGTATGGTTTTCATTTGTCTCTGTTTGGGTAGGTACTTTTGGGGATCAAATAGCCATGCGTAAAAGGCATATTGGGTTAGCCCAAGAAATGTAACTTCAAGTGTTTGAACGCTTTAGGTTAGTTTTTTTTTAATTGTTAAACAATGGGGGTTAAATGCAAATTTAGCCCAATTGTGGTGAAGCAACAGTTAAATACGTGAAGTGACAATGGGGGTTAACTGCAATTCTTGGTGAAAACCAAATCAACCCGGTAATTACAATTTGGATTAGTCCATTTAATCGGTTCAGTTGGATTGATGCACACCCTTATATTAATTTTCATTTTATGATAAATTCTTGTGTCCTGATGTATACGTCAACACACTCAATCAGGTTGGGTCATTTTTGTGAGATTGGGCAAGACTAAAATATATGTGTCCTACTATTGTATGAGTGTAATCGAATAATCTATGTGATTCGACACGCGGACCCAAGAATTTATCCTCTCTAACAAATTGAAATATAGAAAAATTTAAATAACAAAACAAAATGCTTTTCCTTCAAGAGAGCAAATGTTTTGGGCTTGGTGTGTTCCTTGAGTTTGATTGCCAATTGGAGAAAATTTACTTTTCATAATGAGGTCTCGTTAAGTAGAATTTCAAGGATTAACAGACCAACTATGAAATCCTAATCAAGTCCAAAAACTACATAGTTATGATTTTATTCAGAAATCAAGATTGGATTTACACCCATCTCCAAAATCACAACTTTATTCATAAACCAAAGTTATCATTTACACCAGTCACCAAAGTCTATGTATACTTATTGTCAAACAACAGAAAAAGGATCTCCAACTCTCAATCAGAACCTTCTTCGTTTACCAGTTGCAATCTGATACTGCATGGCATCTGTATTGTTTCCAACATGCAATTGCAGGCCATTGTTCAAACAAGCAGAGCCACGTGCAAAGTTCAACACAGAAGAAGATGGTATCTGAGAAAAGCCGGGTGAACTATCAAGGAATGAAGCAGAACCACTCGATGAACTCTGCGTTGGGCAAATCGACTCGACTGCTTCTAATCTCTGCTCTATTAATGAGCCACAATGATCACCTCCATAGATGAGAGTGGGTGGATTTTTCCACTTGGGAAGAGGTGCAACAAGAAGTGTTTGAAGTAAAGGACCAGTATCCATGACAGCCTGCATCAGTCTTCCTTTCTTGGGCAATGGTCTCACTCTAGCAATGTTATCAATTAGAACAGAAGCACAATCAAACTTGGAGCCACATTCTTGAGCAACAGGCCTTTTTGGCAGAGCCAAGTTACTTGAATCAGCAAAGTTGGCATTAGGCAGGCCTTGGAAAGAGATAGAACCCAAGTTGCAGTTTGTGGGATATGAACCATAAACATGGAAATTGTATGTTTGGGGAAGAAGAGCTTCTGATTCTTTTAGCATTGATGGGTTTGTGGTTTTTTGGGGAATTGGGTTTTCATTATTGGGTTGTGATGAGAGGATATGAGTGGTTTGATCAGCTGGTATGGATGGCAATAACTCATTCATTAGCTTTTGCAACTGGTTTCTTGCTTCATCTCTTTCTTGGCAAGCAGCCTTCAAGAGTTCATATAACTGCTTTATGATCTCCTCATTTTTGCTTACCTCCTCTTTTGCCATCATCTTTGCTGATTCTAGTTCAAAATTGGTGCAGAGAAGCTTGTGTTTCAGTTCATCAACACTCTGTCAGAGAACAAAGAGCCCAAATAAGCATGCAACAGAAGTTCCAATGAAAATCAATCATTAACCATGATCATTTACTCCAAATGTCCATTTTATGAATCATTGAAAATTATACAAAACAGGCCTTCACTTTATTTGGAACATGCATAAATACACTGACATGAAGTGTTTCAAGAGCAGCAAGAATTATAATTCATATCCTTTATTGCTCTCAGGAATATTGCTGTATTTTCTGTGTGATATAATTAATCTTCAACACTACAAATGCAGCAAATTGTACAGCCAGTTGGGGAAAACTTTTAAACTAAATCTGACTTTCTGCCAAAAGCACCAAGGATAAACTGAACATAAATCTGGACCACGCCCCTCATGGAGGCTCCAGCCAAATTCTTGCCATAAAACATGAAAAGCCAGTAAATATTATTGTAAACAACAAATGAAAATGCATAGATGCACCAATTCTAATACATTGAAATGAAAAACCACTCACCTCTTGATCACTCCAAATGTAAACCATATCTCTCTCTCTCTCTCTCTCTCTCTCTCTCTCTCAAGCACACACAAATGACCGAAGCAATGTGTAAGTCGAAGGCCTAGCCGGGTTGCAGAACAATTAAATTGAAGAGGGATAAGCAGAGACATAAAAAGGGGGGTGAAAATGAAAGTGTGCAGACCTCTAGCAAGCTTCCATAAACGTAATCTTTAATGGTGGGATGAGTATAAGGTATGTCTGAAACCTTCTTAAAACTACTAATAAAATTTACTAAGTAGACTGCACATTATAATAACTCGCGTCCCTGTTGTATCACTAAATAAACTCTCCAAAAATGGCCTCCGTGGTTAAGGGGATTCTGTCGGATCCCATACATTACTCTCTCAATCTCTCATTGTCAATCAAATATACGGTTTGCTCTTCTAATTTCTAATTTGTCTACTGTGTGCTAATGAACCTTGATTAGTGGTAACTTGAAGGAAACTAAATCAAATACTTAGCTAGCTTTTTTTTGAGAGTGTAATTTCCGAAACCTCATAGGGTTTCGTGTGAAAACACGAAAAAACCTTAGTTGTGTCAAATAACTCTTATGACATATTTACTTATCAATAATGGTATGGAAATCAATTTGATTCCTTCTTCCCTTGTGTTTATTGACACATGGGTATTGGAGTGATTCCAATTCCTTATTTCTCATGCGTTTACTTACACATGCATGATAAAAAATTATGGGTGTTCAAATAGTTGATCCGATTCCAATTCCGCTTATTTCCAAATTCTTAACTTCCCAAATTCGTGACTTCCCCATTCCTTGTTAATGTAAAAAGAAGAAATAAACAGATCATTTTTACAGACAAATTAATCTTAAAGTTGCATAATCGATGAACTTAGACCCACTATCCATGAAAACCATTTCCTTGTGCATAAAAAGCTTTGCGGACCAAAAGATGAGCTTTCATCATCAGACAGGATATGTCCCTCCTGACCACAATTCACAAGCTGAGGTTAGATTTGCGAAGCAATCTCTTGCCGTTGTTTTTCACAAACAAAACAAAACAGAGTGATTTAATTAATCATATGATATGGAATTTAGATACATAAAGTACAGTTTATATTTATCCTAAGTTTTGCTTTTTGAGTCAAGACATGAACATGATTGTCATCTTGTCTCAAACGGGACACCCGAGGCTAAATGGACCAGTACAAAAGTCCTTTGAGAAACCCATCCATGAAGGGCCACGTGGCCACTAAAATGGTTTGCAAGATAAAAATGAAAGAAATAAAATTAAACATATTTGTCTTGGCTAATCATCTTATTTGCCTAAGGGAAAATGCTACTTAGCCTTTTGTTTTATTTAATTTGGGACTAGGCCAAAAGATCGGCTACGAGTCCGGCAACATTCTCGCTGTGTTAAATTCACTTCCAATTTGAGATTATTTATTTATTTATTTATTATTTTAAAAAAAGAAATGATTTAGTGGCAAAGTTATATATTGAGCACTCATTTTATGACTGCGATTTCATTGTGACTATTTGTTGAAATGGAATATTAAATTGATTTTTTGGGGCTGTATATGCTACTGGGATGATCTCCGAATATGTTAGGGGCGGCCATTTCATTATAACTAGAAAAGGTATCCGCGCGATGTCGCGGGTATTAAAACTATATAATATACGTAAAAAGTTGTAAAAACATATAGGAAACACAATATTATTTACATACATGTGAAAGTTTAAGTTACAAAAGATAGATGAGTAACATGTTATGTACGCGAATTAGTGTTTAAAAACCTATTCCAACTGTTGCAATAGATAGATAAATGACACGCTATGCAATGATGGTGGCAGAACTTCTCTCTTTAGGGCATTTCCAGCCGTCAAAATGTTGCCATGGCAAGGGGGGGGGCAAGGGGGGGTACTATTCAAGGGAATAGTGTCTGCCCTTGCAAAAAGTAAGTTGCACTTCCAGCAGTTGCCAGGGCAAGGGGGGGTACTATTCAATTTTTTGTTTTTTTCACAAATTTGTTTACCTAAACAATTAATTTTGACAATATATTCGGATGAGATTTTCTGATAAAATATTCGGATAAGATTTTCAGATAAGATTTTCGGTTTCAAATTTCAGATAAATTTTTTTTTCAAATTTCAGATAAATTTCGAGTTTTCAATTTCATATTAATTTCATCTGAATTTCAAATTTGGTTTTAAATTTCATTTTAATTTCAACTTTTCATTTGAATTTCAATTTCAGATAAATTTCATCCGAGTTTCAAATTTCGGCTAAAATTTTCACCCTATAAAATTGCGCCATGTGTCATTTGGTTGTAGTTTGTTTGTTTTTATATATTTAATGCTTTGGTTGTGGTTAGTTTTTTTTATGTATGGAATGTTTTGAATAAAAAGGAATTTTATTTAATAGTTTCTTTGATAGAGAAAAATTAAACTTGAAAGTGAAAAAAATTTAGAGTTGAAAGTGAAAAAAATTTAGAGTTGAAAGTGAAAAAATTATTGAGTAGAAAGTGAATAATTAAACTTGAAAGTGAAAAAAATTTAGAGTTGAAAGTGAAAAAATTATTGAGTAGAAAGTGAATAATTAAACTTGAAAGTGAAAAAAATTTTGAGTTGAAAGTGAAAAATTATTGAGTAGAAAGTGAATAATTAAACTTGAAAGTGAGAAAAATTTAGAGTTGAAAGTGAAAAAATTATTTAGTAGAAAGTGAATTTGTTGTTAAAAGTGAAGAGTATGGATTGGTATTTTATAAAAAAAAAAATTCAGTATTTTTTGGGGTTTTTTTAAAATTTTTCAAGATTTTTTTCATAATTTTTTGCCTTGAAAAATTCCAGGCCGTTGGATTGGATGAAAATTCGGAAATCGGAATGACCAGGTCGCGCCACGTGGCAGCTGAAAGAAAAAAAAAATTCGCGCCTGCTGACGTCAGCTGCCTTCGGGCTGCTGCTCGGGCTGCCTTCGCCTTGGGGCCAGCCCAGGCAAGTGGACCCCACACTGCCCGGGCCAGCCTTTGTTGCTGGAACTTGCATTTGGGCTCTCCCCCCCCCAGCCCGAGCCCGAGGGGGCTGCTGGAAATGGCCTTACTGGTTCTTGGTTTTTCATTGGTGTTTTTTCTTCTTTCTTCTCGTGTGCAGGTATTTTCACTTCTTTGTTACAAATTGGAAAAATGGTAGCTGTCAGAGCAGACAAATAACAAAGTTCTAGTGAAAATAAGAAAATAAAATATATGTGTGGTTTGACTTTGTGCTATGAATCATAACAATGAAAATAAGTTGAGCAGTATTGCAGCAACTAAATATTAGAATTGGGAAGAATTGAAATATACGTATATCACTTCAGTGAACTACAAAAATTAATGCAGTACAGAACCTTTAAAATCAAACATACTGGCTCTTGTTTTGGACCAAAAGAATCCAACCTAATTGCGTTGTAAAAGATGTTTGGGAAAAATCATACTTTTGAAGAAGAGCTGATAAATTTTCTCTGTAATCGAATCGTAATTGAAGACAATTATGAGAAAAAGAAACTTTCCCCAAATTCAACACAATCAACTACCACTTAATATAGAGAAACTGAGAAGCTATGAACAATGAAATACGATGCATGTAATGTGGATTTCAGTGAGATGATGAATGAATTGTAAAGGAAAGAGTACAGACTCTATTTTGGAGGTAGCAGAGATGGTTTTGGAACTGCCTTGGGCTAGTTTCTTCTTCAAACTGATAATTGGTAAATTGTCAGAATCTGACACATTTTCTTCTACGGTCTTCACAGCAAGAGTTTCCTCGTATTTCTTTTTAGTTGCAACATCACTTAAACACATGCAAAATAGAAGAAAAAGAAAAGTATTAGTAAATGTTAGATAATGTGAAAATATGGAACGAATGACTTAATTGTTATATAAATCCTAACCGTTTCAATTTTTTCCCCATGAAAGAGGTGAAAAGAGCTCTCTTAACTGCGAGTCTATACCTCTTTTTTGAATATGAAATGGGCTCTGCAAGAGAAGGGCTGGGTGAGACAGTGAGAATTGTAGGTGGAGCTTGTTTTGAGAAAAGTGGCAAAAGCATTTGGGCAACTATCTTTTTTTTCTCATGTTCAACCAATTTTTGACCAAATGGCTTATAGCCTGATTCAAGAAGTTGTACTTTGTCATCAAACACAGCTTGAATAAGTAGATCGCTTCTATTTTCACCATTGCACAACAATAAATCACAAAAATTGTAAATTGAAATAAAGTTATGTTCTTGTATTAAATGAAAGAGTGCAAACTTGCATTTGAATCTACAGTGAAGTTAAAATTCTGTTACATTACCTTTTCTTACACAAACAAATGAAAACATGAAAATATGATGATATGAAGTGAAGACTGGTTTCTTTTCAAATTCCTTGAGAGCACAATCACATCTTAATTGGTTGAAAAGTAACCAATACCACAAAGAGAAAACTAAATACACACAACACAACTCATTTCCACATGCATGCAAGACCGTGTAGACCAATGTCAAGTGTTTTATAATATATAAAAAACAAATTCCATAAAACCAAATATGCACCAAATCCTATATAAGTAGTTAAGCCAATGGGATGAATTTGTTTGTGGAAAATAGTTCAATGGTCTGTAATTGTGACTTGCAACCAACCATTTGCAGAGAGGAGCAATTTGAACTTATAAATGAATCAAAATCGTCCATTTATGAGTGAATTATTATGGAAATTTAAAACCTCAAGCAACAAATTTATAAAGCATTGAAAACCTTATAGTCATAGAAAAATATAACAATGATTACTCTATAACAAAAATATTATTACCGGAAGGGTGGTGATCATGGCACCGGCGGAACTCTGAAACCAAAGAACAACCTCTACAACATCACAAATAAACAAAATGAGTAACACATATTTCTATATAAAAAAATTATAATGTGACACGTAATTTCTTAGTATGTAATTCATTATTTACATTACAACGAGAAAAGCCTTCAGTCTCAAGTGTCTCTTGCCTATCTCTAG